AGCGGGATGCTCGGCTAGCAAACCGGGGAAGGGAAGATGGTTCATTTCGAAAAATGAAGCGAAGCAGCGGTGTCAGCGGATGTCTATCTCAGACAAAACAGGCAGGAGGAAAGATTCAAGGAATGTGGAGAGGGTGTAGATGAATAGCAGGTAACAGGTATAATCTCGGCTAAGATAAAAGACCATTGATTAGACTAAAGTACCAATTTTCCTGCTAGTGTCGCCATCGGAGAACCGCGCCACCGCGATTGGCTCGCGTGGCAACGCCTCGAGGAATCCGTTGCCTATCAGAGGGATTGGCGGTGGCCCCTTTTCTGGCCTGTGATTGGGGAGCCCCGGGCGGTTATCAGGCGGTTCTGCCGATCTCCACTCTGGCTCTTTGAAATATGCCGGGGGCAGCAGCAGAAAGCAGCAGAAAAGATAATGCTAACGGAACTACCATAGTAGACTAGTCTAGTCGCAGAAATAAAAGATACCATGCAGCAAACTTAGCCAAGACTTTCAAAATAAGAAAGTCACATTTTTCGGGAGAAGATAGATAGATACATACACAACAATCAACACCCCCCCAGATACAATTAATCATTCTTACTTCTATTCGGCTCTCCTGAAGATCCTCCTCCCGTGGCTGTGAGATCACCCTCCCTGCGTCACCAACCATGGAACCTTCCGCAATCACACCATCGTCCCCGCTGATGGTTCCATTGTTGCGGTGACATGGAGATCTGGTGCGACACGCCCCGGTAGCGCGGCTGTCGCCCTTTTCCCTCCCGGTTTTCATTGCCCACCCATGGATGCTTTGGTTGGTTGGTCAATTTTCTGCTCGTCTACTGTCTTCCGTCTCCACCAGTCCCTTCGCTCCGCCTGACTTACTTATATCCTTCTCTGGCCCGGCTGTCTCTCTTTGTCGTCCGCTCCCTTTTCCTATTGACACTTCTCTCTCTCACTTACTCCTCCGTCATTTCCTTCCTTTTTAACCTTCCCGTCACACTTTCCGACATCATTGCCTTCCTTGGTGTCGACGTCACGCGTCTCCCCTTTTGACTTCACTTCCATCTTGATCCAGTGCATCCCTCCCCGGACAGAGAGTGTCCCCCATCATCATCATGGCTGAGAAGAAGCCTAACATCCTCTACATCATGGCCGACCAGATGGCGGCCCCCTTGTTGGCCTTTCACGACAAGGATTCCCCCATCAAAACTCCCAACTTGAACAAGTTGGCGCAGGAAGGTGTCGTTTTTGACTCAGCCTACTGCAACTCGCCGCTCTGCGCGCCCTCGCGCTTCGTCATGGTGACCGGTCAATTGCCCTCCAAGATTGGCGCCTACGACAACGCTTCCGATCTGCCTGCAGACACCCCCACCTACGCTCACTATCTGCGCCGTGAAGGCTATCATACCGCTTTGGCCGGTAAAATGCACTTTTGCGGTCCGGATCAGCTGCACGGATACGAGCAGCGCCTGACCAGCGACATCTATCCTGGCGATTACGGCTGGTCAGTGAATTGGGATGAGCCGGTAAGTTTATTCACCCCGCCATCCGGCTTGGAGAATGGCGAAATGCTGACCGAAATAGGAAATCCGTCCCGACTGGTACCACAACATGTCTTCCGTCATGGAGGCGGGTCCCGTGGTGCGCACTAACCAGCTGGACTTTGATGAGGAGGTCATCTACAAGTCCACCCAGTACCTCTACGATCATGTGCGTCAGCGCAACGACCAGCCGTTCTGTCTGACCGTGTCCATGACTCATCCCCACGACCCTTATGCTATGACTAAGGAGTTCTGGGATTTGTATGAGGACGTCGAGATCCCGCTGCCTAAGCAGGCGGCTATCCCGCAGGACCAGCAGGATCCGCACTCGCAGCGTGTGCTCAAGTGCATTGACCTCTGGGGCAAGGAAATGCCTGAGGAGCGTATCAAGGCGGCCCGCCGCGCTTACTACGCTGCCTGCACGTACGTCGACACCAACGTGGGCAAGCTGCTCAAGGTGCTTGATGACTGCGGAGTCCGTGACGACACCATCATCGTCTTCACTGGCGACCACGGCGACATGCTGGGTGAGCGTGGTCTCTGGTACAAGATGGTCTGGTACGAGAACTCGTCGCGTGTGCCGTTCATTGTGAACGCGCCCAAGCGATTCGCACCGAAGCGGGTGAAGGAGAACGTGTCGACCATGGACCTGCTGCCGACATTCGCAGAGATGGTGGGGGCACCGTTGGTGCGCGAGCTGCCGCTGGACGGCGTGTCGCTGATGCCCTACCTGACCGGCGAGGACGGCGTCAAGACCAACACGGTGCTGGGTGAGTACATGGCAGAAGGTACGCAGTCGCCAACGGTCATGATCCGGCGCGGGCGCTACAAGTTTGTGTACTCGTTGATTGACCCACCCATGTTGTTCGACTTGGAGGCCGACCCACAAGAGCGGGTCAACCTGGTGGCGGGGCTGACGGAGAAGCCGTCGTTTGAGGCTCCGAAGCCCGTGCCTGTCACACAGTTGAACCCTGCGCCGCTGCCCACGCCAGGCGATTCGCCTCGGGGTTCACCGATGCAGCGTGCGTCGTTCCCATTCCCCACGCCCCCGCGCACCCCTAGCCCGGGCAAGTCGGCATATGCCCTCCCGGAGAGCCGTGAGCCGGCCAAGCTGCTGGCGTACTTCACCGAGGAGGTCCACGCGCGGTGGGATCTGGAGAAGATCCGCGAGGACGTGCTGCGGTCGCAGCGCCGCCGACGCCTCGTGTACTCTGCCCTGATCCAGGGCACTCCATCGATCTGGGACTACGAGCCGCGAGTGGACCCTAGTGCGCAATACGTGCGCAACCAGGGCAAGGGCGCGCTGGACGATGTGGAAATGATCTCTCGGTGGCCGCGGGTGTTGCAGCAGGCTGCGACCGCAAAGGGGATGAACGTTTAACTGATATTTTCCTGTTTATACAATCTGCTTTGTGATGAACGGGTTGTTTGGGTATTAAAATTGGAGTCATAGCGAGGCGCATGGGCTTGCATTGCAGCTATTTCTTGCGTCTAGCGTTGAGCTTATGTATTATAAGACATTGAATCAATGTATGTACGCAATACCGGAAGATTGATTTATTCCTACGTCTTTACATCTTTGTCATCCGTAGCGGCCGAGCAGTTAGTAGATGGTATCAATTCAGCAGTCACTGAAAAAGCTTTATATCCAAATGACGTGTTGTCAGGGGCCGTTTGTGATGCCAAAACAAAGAGTGCACTACGTCACATGTAACCATGGATGATCTAACTTTGTAACTTCTCCGCGCTCCAACCTCGTCATCTCACCACCAACACTCAAACAACATCACCATGATCATCCTGATCCTTATCATAATAGTCATAATCATAATCTAGTATAATCTCATAGTTACTATGTCCCCCAGAAAACTCACCCTCGCCATCGCCCACCCAACCATAACATCCACCTCCCCATCCCAAATCACCCAGCTCGCCCACACCGCAGCGTCCAAGGGCGCTCATCTCCTCGTCATTCCGTCTTACGCGACACCAGCTGCAGCAACAGCAAGGAATAAGAATCCAAGAGACCAATTCTTGAAGCTATTCAATTGCGCTCACGATCTATCCGACCCGGGAAGTAATCCCGAATGCCACGCCGAGAAGAAATCCAAAGCTAGAGAGATACTGGAACATCTCGCTCAGGAAACGAAACTGTTCCTGATTGTGGGGTTACTGGAGCGCGCTTGTGGGAATTTGTATCATACTGTGGTGTATATTCATCCTAGGGATGGGTTAGTGGAGAAGAGGAGGTGTTTTGCATTGGTTTGTACCTCATTTTCATTCTGTATGAGGATAAACGGGTATGCTAATGTTTGGTGGTGAGCGTATAGACCGGCGCAGCAAAGACATATCTCTCTTCCGGACAACCGCATACATCTCCGATTACTATTAATTGCAAAAGTGGGCTTGAGGTGAAGATAGGGGTCGGCTTATGCGAGGAGAATTACCATCCGCTTGTTCGGCAGGAACTCTATACAGCTGGTATTCATGTCTACATTTCCCTCGGTGGTGTCTCCTATCTCGATGGTAGTGACAGCGATGGTGGGGATGAAACTGGCCTATGGGAGAGTTTACTGCGCACGGTAGCTGTCGAAGGGAGAGTATTCGTTCTGGGAAGTTACACTACTTCTCAACAGGCGCATCAACATCAACTTGCCTCTCCTACCCGTATCCCCAGCTGGCAATTCTCCCCAGGCGCGAAGAAACGGTCTCTGTCTATTACAGCCGAAGGGCCACATGAGATTGTCTGGCCGGAGGTTCGGCATGCGGATGGTGATGGTGGTGCAGCTGCCGCTATGGGACCGCGGAGGTCTGTGACGGCGGAGGGACCGCATGAGATTGTGTGGCCAGGACAGTCGAATGCCGATGTGAGTGTGAATGTGGATGGGGAGATGAGTCCGGGGAGAGTGGAGCAGAGACATGTTCATGTTGGTGGTGGTAGTGGTAGTGGAAGGGAAGGGCCGTCGGGAGAAAGTGGGTGTGGAGGGGCAGCGTGGATAGTGGGTCCGTTTGGAGATGTTCTGGCGGGTTCGAGGGGAGGAGTATCGTTGGATGATGATGGGTTGTTGGTGAGGGAGGTGGATTTGGAGGATTGTATTCGAGGGAGATGGGATCGAGATTTGGCGGGCTAGGCCTATTGAGTTGCCGTTCTATATGGAATATTGTGACATTGTGAATATTGTGAATATTTGGAGAGCTTAAGACTATATTCTAAGTAGTTGAGATCTACCTACCCGAAGAAGAACCTACCATATCTACACAGTACTAACCAGTTAAGCTTCCGTCAAGCAGAGACTAATCATCTGATGATGATGATCCCTGTCGCTGAGCTGGCAGGAGGGGTAACCCCACCATCATTCTATTAGTATCATCCCAGACTATATCCCAACTTCATCGACTCCTAACTATCCACCATACTAAGCATAACAAACAATCACCCTGCATACAAACCATCCTATCCACACCAAAATGTCCTCAACCACCACCACCACTACATCCACAACAACAACAACCCTAACAGGAACAACCACCCACCCCCGCGTCCTCTCCGTCTCCAAATCCCCCACCCACACCATCTCCAAAACCCCCGTACCCTCCATAACCCTCCTCCCCAACCACGGCGTCAGCGGCGACTGCCACGCAGGCAAAACCACCCAGCACACCACCAGCAGCGCTACATCCAGCAACCTCCGGCAAATCCACCTCCTCCCCATCGAATCCCTCCGTCACATCTCCTCCACCCCCTCCTTCAAGGGAACCAAGCCCCTCACTCCGGGTGGGATCGGCGAAAACGTGACGACGGAGGGCATCGAGTTGGGGAATCTACCTCCCGGTACGGAGATACACTTTGGGAATCAGGACGGGAGTGAGAATGGGGCAGTGGTGGTAATTACGAGTGTGAGAGAGCCCGGACCGGGATTGGATCGAGTGAGGCCTGGTTTGAGGGAGGCGTTTCGGGGGGTGAGGAAGGGCTGGTGGGGGGTTTTGGGGGTTGTGGTGAAAGGGGGGGAGGTTAGGGGGGGCATGGGTGTTAGGGTTGTGGTGAAGTAGTTTGCTACGGTTTAACGTTGCAATTTATTTGGATGAGTAAAGGGCGTGTCTTATTTGATGATGGTGGTGGTTGTGGTAAAGTTTGATAAGCATTGGGTAGTGTGTTGTGATGTAATTGACTTTTGGAGGGCCAGGGTATAAGTATAAACATGGTTCCTTGGAGGGAATTAAGTGTATTGCAGTGGGCAGATTGGAACTTGTCAATTGCTTTACTAGGAATAATGGATCAACGCTACTATACCCTCGCCGAAGGTATGTCCTTATAAGTTTACATATAGTAGAAATATACTAATAATCCAGGCTGCCCCTACGCCAGCAACGCCAGTTCGGTGCAGTTGCGCAGCGGCAATGGCGGCCTGCTTCTAATGCAGGATACCCAGCTCATTGAGACTCTCTCACACTTTGCTCGTGAGCGGATTCCAGAGCGGTAATTCCACTACCTCCATCACCATCATTACAAGTACTAATAGGATTGTTCAACAGCGTAGTCCACGCCAAAGCAGCCGGGTACATTTCCTCTCCCCTCCCCCTCCCCACAACAAAAACCCTACTAACAGCACAGCACAGCGCATACGGCGAATTCACCTGCACCCACGACTGCTCCGACATCACCTCCGCCAGCTTCCTCAGCGAAATCGGCAAAACCACCCAGTTACTCCTGCGCGTCTCGACCGTTGGTCCGGAGGCTGGATCGGCCGATACCCTGCGTGATGTGCATGGCTGGGCGATGAAGCTTTATACGGATGAGGGGAACTTGGATTGGGTGTTTAATAATACGGTAATGCCTTTCTCTTGAGGGACATGTGTGAAGTGAGGGTATAGCTAATGTGTTGGTGATAGCCCGTCTTTTTCATTCGCGATCCGCTCAAGTTCCCGTCGCTGAATCGGTCTCATAAGCGCAATCCGCAGTCGCATTTGCCGGATCCGAATATGGTATGCTTTCTTCCGAGGCTTTAGTTGTTGAGATAAATGCTAACTTGTCATTGATAGTTTTGGGAGTACGTACACATATAGTGCTGAAGTGAGTATCTACTGATAATGTTAGCTTCCACGCCGGCAACCCAGAAGGCTTCCACCAGCTCCTCCATCTCTTCAGTGATCGAGGCACCCCTGCGTCTTTGAGACACATCAATGCCTACAGTGGACATACCTACAAATTCACTCTCAAGGTATTACCCCTATCTTAAAGATATTTGATTACCCAATAACTCTGCATCAGGATGGCTCCTTCAAATACGTCAAATTCCACATCAAAACAACCCAGGGCATCAAGAACCTCACCAAAGAAGAATCCGTCCGTATGGCCGGAGAGAATCCCGACTTTCTCATCCAGGATCTCTTCGAAGCCATCGAGCGGAAAGATTATCCGACTTGGAATGTTTACGTGCAGGTCATGTCTCCCGAGCAGGCTGAAAATTACCGATGGAATATCTTCGATATGACCAAGGTGTGGCCGCATAGTGATTTTCCGCTGAGGCAGATTGGGACGATGAAGTTGAATCGGAATGTATGTCATCCCCACTATTTACCAGGTAATAAACAGGTTCATGCTGATGATAATGGTGGTTGTTCAGCCCCGGAACTACTTCACCGATATTGAACAAGCCGCTTTCTCCCCATCGAATATGGTTCCTGGTGTTGCTCCATCCGCAGACCCAAGTACATCCCCACTATCTGCTCCTCAGCCTAATCCAAAACTAATATATACGGTATAGTGCTCCAAGCGCGCATGTTCTCCTACCCCGACGCAGCGCGCTACCGCGTCGGCACCAACTACCAACAACTCCCGACCAACGCGGCCAAAACCCAAGTGTACTGTCCTTACCAGCGCGACGGGCAAATGAATTTCTCCGACAACTACGGTGCTGATCCCAACTACGTCGGGTCATCTCTGAAGCCCATTAAGTTCTATCAAGATGTGAAAGGACAAGCACCGCAGGCTGTTAGCACCCTCACGGAGCATGAGAAGTGGGTAGGCCAGGTGAGCAACTTTCAGTATGGACTGTATGAAGATGATTTCGTGCAAGCGAGGGGGTTGTGGAAGGTGATCGGAAAGGAGGAGGGACATCAGGAACGGTTCTTTGGGAATGTGGCGGTGCATTTGGGGCAGGTTTGGAGTGATAAGTTGAGGGCGAGGGTTTATGGTGAGTTACTATCCCTTGATTTCTGTGGTTTGTTTTGGGTGATGGTTCTGATGAATGTAGAGCTGTTTTCGATGGTGGATCCGGGCTTAGGGGAGGGGGTGAAGAAGGCTACGGAGGAAGTGGTGAGGAAGAGGGAGAGTAAGAAATAGATAGTAGATACGTAGATGTGCTGTACTTTGTGTAGCTAGGGGTATAAAAGTGTTGATTATAGTGTTTGTTGTTTTAGGATGGTCAAGAATGCATGCCAGCTGTCATTGCTTAGTACTTTCGGAGAAAAAATGTCAAGGAGCATTCTTGTGCATGGCAGTGGCCAATCCAACCATCGGGAGGAATTTGCTGCATGTGGACTGTGACAGGCAGTTTCAATACCGCTGTCTCAAAGTGTAAGATTTTCACATGCTGTACACGTCTCTCATCTTCATTTATCTTATTATATTTTATAACAGTACTTACAGACTTGCAAATAATACCGTTAAACATATAAAGGCATCACGGTATACATTAATTTACCATAAAATAACCACACGCAACACATCAACCCTTATCTGCTCGCCCCCTTCATAACATCCACACTGCTCTGATCAACAAGATATCCGGATGCATCGGAACAACAACCCCCTCCCTCGAAACCCAATTCCGGATCTAGACCGCGCATTCACCAATCACGTCCATTCCAATGCCACTGACTGCAGATCCACCATAATGATAACATACCCACTCCACAGTCCACACCAGCTAGCTACCCCAGCCCTACAACCTCCCTCCCTACATCAGTCCACTATGAAACAAGTATACCATAAGTCCCTACACCATCCACCGCAAAACAAGAAATATCCCAATCTGACTCAACCCAGTCAGATATCCCGCCTCCCCGCTCAACCCGACAGGTCCGGCGATTCCTCGGGTGTAAACACAACAGGGATATACTAGTATGCTATAGTTAGTGTGGTCTGTGGTAGTGGTAGTGGTAATGATAGTCATGAAGTCACCCGTTCCAGCATTCCACCACTCACTAAACCGACCAAGTATATGCATTCCCCCCTCCTTCCCCTCTTCTACGAATCTGCTGCTTCCGGCGTATTTCTCCCATACACTACTACTACTACAACTACTATTTACTATTCTTATTATACTTCATCAAGCATATAAACCACCCATTTACCCCAACCATCCACATCAACCTCCTCATCATAAACACCCTGCTTTAATAATAACAAAGGGCTGATCCGGGAAAGGGATATGTCCACCCAAACCAGCACCATGACGACCCTAACCGCCCAAATGGACACGACCAACCGGCCCGACGAATGGAAGATCGAGCAAGGCATGGCAGGTCACAAACTGCCTATTCTCGATCAATCCGGTCTGGACACCGTGCACATCTACCCGCCGAAGCCGACACAGCGGTATAAAGATGAGGAGGCAATTGAGGCAGTCGGGGATCGGAATGAGTTGTTTAAGAGGGAGAAGGAGGGGTGGAAGGGGTATATATCTCCCTTTTCTATATCCCTTCATTCATAATACCTTATGCTAACGATACATGGCTATGGGTAGATACGTGGAATGGGAAAACTACCCCGACAAAAAGGCCAAAGCGCACCGCATCCTCACCTCCCAAACCTTCGACCCCTGTCCAGACTACATGTTCGGTCCTATCCCCGACACCAACCCCGTCCTGACCGGCGAGGATTTCAAGCAATGGCACGCCGCGCTAGGCGGGGAACTTGCCTCCGTGGCGGATGATAGCTGGCGCACTGTGCTCCGGGAGAAACATCCGGATATGCTGCATCTGCTCCAGTTCCCGTATAACGGGGAGCCGCCGAAGCGGTTGGTCACTTCTAAAGTGGTCACGCCGAATCCGCTGCACTTTGTGCGCAATCACGGAGGGATTCCCCTGATCGAGAAGGACAAGTGGAATCTCCAGCTAGATGGACTGGTGAAACATCCGAAGAGCTATACATTGGAGGATCTGCAGGATGAGACGCGGTTCCCGCGGATGGAGAAACTCGTGACGATGCAGTGTTCGGGGACGCGGCGGATCGAGCAGATCGCGTTGTATGGGGGCCAGGGCGATGAAGTGCCGCAGGCGCCGTGGGCGGAAGGGGCGATTGGGACGGCGCGGTACGTGGGCATCAGTTTGAAGAAGGTGATTAAGGATTGTGGGGGGTTGATTGCGCCAGCGAAGCATCTGGAGTTGTATGGTGCGGAGACGTATATCAAGGATCTGGAGGCGATGAATTACGTGGTGAGTGTGCCGTGGTCGAAGGTCAAGGCGAACGAGGTGATTCTTGCGTGGGAGATGAACGGCGAGCCATTGCCCAAGATCCATGGGTATCCGTTACGGGTTGTGGTGCTGGGGTATATTGGGGCGCGCAGCGTCAAGTGGCTGTACCGGATCAAGGCGATTGAGAATCCATCGCGAGCACCTGTGCAGAGCAGGGAGTATCTCTACTTTAACCAGCAGGTTGGGAAATATAACCAGCTTCCCACGGATGGGATCCAGATCCAGGAAATGCCGGTCAGTTCGGCGATCATGTCACCCTGGACGAAGCAGGTGATTGTTCATGAAGGGAAGATCCGGTGCAAGGGGTGGGCGTATTCTGGGGGTGGGCGGTGGCCGGAGCGGGTGGAGTTGTCGGCGGATGGAGGGTTCAGTTGGTATGCGGTGCCGCAGGAGAAGTTGTCGAAGAAGGGGAGGTGGACGTGGAGGACGTGGGAGATGGAGTTGCCGTGTGATGTTGAGGGTTGGATTGAGATTGTCTGTCGGTGTTGGGATAATTCGTTGAATACCCAGCCGTTGAATGTGCGGGCTGCGTGGAATTGGGGCCTGCATGTGACGTCCTCGGCGCATCGCATTAGTGTGTATAGTGTCAACAAGAGACATGAGGCCACGAGGAGGAAGATTGAGAAGATGGAGCATTTGGGTATTCCACTTGCTCCGTTGACGTTTTATCAGCCTGTACCGGGGCAGACACAGGATGAGTATGAGGAGTTCTGGAAAACACATGATCCGAGAGATGCGGATGATTAGACGGGAACAATGTGGATGACGATGGGGGTTGATCAGATTGATTAATAGTGAATGAATAATAATGCTGTGTTTGTCTGCAATATCAAAACCTAGCCAGAGTGTAAATTGATGCTGAGGGTCTTATGATTTATGTGCATAGTAGTCCACCTCCAGCCATATGACAATGCTCTTCACATTTCAGCACATTCAATAGTGATACCCTTCATGTACCATGCCGCTCTAATAATAGTATATAATATCAGGCGAACAAAACCAGGTCTACTCTGTGGAAAACTCCGATCTGCTGTAGAGCAGAATCGCAACATTCCAAACATCAGGGTTACAAATCTAGTACGCGTCTTGCCTATAAATAGCCTCGTTTTCCTGCCATTTCACTTGCAGCATCACCCATTCAATCTGTCCCCATTCATTTTATATATATTCCATAAGTATTATGGATCAGGTATAATAGCCCCGCATTCATCGATCATGTGAGTGAATAGACCCACAGCTTGGTGAAAGCCATCACGGGGACCAAGGGGTATTTAAGCCAGCTTCTTGCCCCATCGACGATGATGCCTTTGATTTCAATCATCATCTTCATGCCATATACTTGAATCTACTTCGTCTCTCCTAAAATTAATTTATATCATTGCATTACCGCTAAATTCTGGTACTCGCTCGACATAAAATAGAAGACACTCTATACGCTTCCATCCCATGGGTGCAGAATGTCAACAACAACCACAAACACAACACTACATTTTCCCAGCTGTCACCTTTGGTTTCTATAACCTCTGCACCGCGATAGATGAACATATACCCCATCCCGTGATAGTCTGTCTTCACAACATATAATCCTTTACACTATCTCGATATTATTACTACAATCCTCAATCTTCTCAGACACGTCCGATGTCTGATATCAGCCGAGTTACCTGGCTAAATGAAAGTAATAGACATTACTACAGATCATGTCTATCTGTCCTCTATCTATATAAGATATGGCAGTCTTTCCCACTCGGGAACGCCATTATGCTAAGACTGCACTGTCTGAGACACTCCTTCTGGGCCCATCTATAACACGACTCTCTACCCATATTCAGCTTGACAAGGACATCAAGGAAGTCAACGCCATCCGTGCAATCCCGCTACTCAGTCTTTCACCAAGACGAACTGTCGCCACATGATGTCTTTGTCAAGATTGAATGAAGCTCTGGGGAACGAGAGATTCTCCCAAAAGCCTTGGTTTAGAGATTAACAACATGATCGGAAGTACAGTTACCAAGCAATCCAGACTATCCCACGTGTCATCAAACCTAGTGACTGGGGGCCTTTGTGAGATGTGTACATGGAACGCTATTCTATATCAGCGCGGCATGTTTTTCGCCGGAGTATGTTGAGTCAATAAAGATGGCTCCGCCTGCAGAGATTGCTGTTGGCGTGATCTTGTATGGGGTAGAAGATCCATTTATTTCTGGCTGCAGCGATGGGTGGTTTGAGGAGCTTTCCAGGGTAATATTTCAGGCTAATTGGGTGTGTTCCATTGGTCATGGAGTTGAGACCAGGGAGGAGATACATGTTGTCAACCAGAGGTTTAAGATAATCCGACTATATCACGAGGTATCTTGATAGAACTCGGCCTCGCAAAGAATCGGAGCTTACTAGTAATACAGAAAACGTTTTATCTTGATTATGCTCCAAGTAAAACCCACTAAACAACTATCCAATCCTTCATAATAAATCCAACGCATCCCAAAACCCAAATAAAGCACTAAAAGGTGATCATGAACCCTCCACCGTGGCAACAGATTCAGACAAAATCTTCTGTATAGCGCCAACCTTAGCACTCCCACTCCTTAGGTACCGAAACAGCCTTGAGAGCGCCCGCATAGCCTCCATCCAGTCGTACTTCCGGCAGGGATCATATCCTCGCGTAAACTTCAATTCGAGGTGTTCATCATCCGAACATCCCTTTGCGTGTACTCTTTTGATCGTCTCAACAGGGAAGTATCCACGGGCGATGTAGATATGAGGGCCGTAGAAACCAACCACAAAGACTTCCTGGTCCTGTAATTTCTGGTCGCGGATGCGGATGTTGTTGGCTAGCTGACCGAGCATGACACTGAGGACTTCTGCGGTGAACTGGTCCCAGGGTAGTCCTTCGCGCCACTGTAGCTTGTTAGATACCAGACACGTTCATGCCCATATTTGATAAAATAGAGAGAAGATGTATGTGTGATGACGGGATATAGATACTAGTATATACGCACCGTAGGACAAGATATTATCGGCCGTCCCTCCGTAAGAGGACCAACCGTCACGTGCGCCAATGGCATGCTGGCGTACTTCTGACGGCCGATCACGTACTTCGATGACGATATCAAATTGGGCACCCTGTCACATAAGTCTATTGTCTCCATATAGTAATTAGAGAAACGAGCGACCACTCACCAGACCTCCAATTTCGGTTCCCTGCTTCTCTCAAGGTACGCATGGACCGTCCATAATAAAATGTGTAGTATAAAACTTTGTGAGTGATATTTTCTTGGCCGCGCCACTTTCCAGTTCTTTCGGGGCAATACAATCTTCACTTTGGCTGTTGTAGGGCCAGCGAGGCTCAGTGCTCCTGGGGCCAAAGCATTTTGGTAATGCGAGAACTCCTCGAAAAGTAGTTTGAATTTGGAATCCTCCGATGGCCAGTCGTACTGGTCATCTTCGTCGGCTATATTGGAGTGGCGGTACACCCATGGGATGAGGTTTTCTATGTCTTTTTCTTCTGAGAAATTATACATTAGATGATGAAATGCTAGTTCAGAAAGAAGAGGTGAGAGTGAAATACCTTCAAGGTCTTGACTGAGGATTCGGGGAAGTAGCTGGTCGAGATCAACGACTCGGGTCTGGACGGTGGCGGACATGGTGCTGTGAGTTGAAATTATGTTATCGAGTAGATTAATAGTAGCGTTCCAGTAAGGGATTTGATGAGGTCAATTTTTAGGTGAGTTGAGAAATCAAATTTATGTTGTTGATTGATCATTTTAGGAGACTGGCCTGGGAAATGGTTGAAGTATTCACCATAGCTAAGCACTTCACCAAACCCTTTGCTGCCTACGGGAGTTACCTACGACCTGATCTTTACCTCCGTGTTGCATGAGACCCCGAGTACATGGTCAGAATCTTTTCCTCCGGATACCTCCCCTAGAATCTGAATAGCCGTAACCTGAACCTGCTTCTCGATATTTGGACAAATACTGCCAGTGGTAGGCCAAACCAGGCCTTGACAGGTAACAGTGTGCAGTTTGCAACATAATCACTGCTTATCTGGCTGACGCATGTATGCGCTCTCTGTCGATACTAACAAGATATGCAGTCCTACAGATTAGTAAGAGACTATCCAACAGTCAAGCGGACTGGTATGACCTACCGTTACACACAGCGCTCGGGTGAGTGTCATTGGGCATCATGGGGGATAGTTTCATACCTATATTTGCCACAACACGCTATTTCATATCGAGGTCTAGCAAGGAATATTCAGATCTCGGGAAGTGACGTACAGACTATTAACGAACAGTGTGATATTCTGTCTTCTGAACAGTAATGTGGTCCAAAAACAATGTATTGCTTTGCTCTATAGTGATTCTTATTCTTAACCCTGCCAATACGGATCATGCCGTCGAGTCGAGCACGGGCAGCAAATGAAGCTTTTATAGAGCTGTCAACTGGGTAACTGACGATGACTTGGCTTGATGAGCACCTTGCTAAGCTTGAGCATGATATAGAAGAATTCATGGATGAGACATGGAAGGGCTTCTTTGCCTCACTGGTAGCGAGTAGAACATAATCCTTAGGAGAACTAGCCTCAGTATATTGTATGTTTAGCACCCTTATTCCACCACGCCGGATTTGCATGAGCATTCTTCATGCTGCTTTGCCAGTAACTACACAATCCATTATTATGTCTGCTGAACGGATTTAGATTGGAAAATCCTATTAAGTAGTAAGTAGCAGGACGTCTAGTAGTAATGCTTCGTATTGTAACCAGAAGACAAATCATATATTAAATTTAACTCATATGCATCTAAAATACTATGAAAGTCCGCATATACCAAACCATATCATACACGCATCCAAATATACACCAAAGTAGACAGAATAACCCTAAAACATACTCACTTACATCCTCTTCCCCCTTTCATGGGAAAACCTCCTACCCCCAAACCACCCTCCTAATCCTCACATTCGCAACATGCGTCACCGCCACAACCCCCAACCCACCCCCGGCCCCCGTCAAGACCAAAAACAACCTCTCCTCCAACCCCTCCTCCGTCCTCCACTTATCATAATACGCTTTCTTCCCCTGAATCGACGGCAACCGCTTAAACGCAAACCGATACGCCCCTCTCGCCAAATGCTCCAACGGGCCCCTCAGCCCCCTGACCTCGCCCAACTCCTCTAATGGCTCAAAGCCCACACTCAAATACCCCACCCCGGCATGCCGACACAGCGCCATCGCAGCGAACATCAACAGATCTGTCAGTCCCTTGGGAGCCGTCGGTAGCGCCACGCACGGATCGATATGGTATCCGTTGTTAGCGCCGCAGTAGCGCAGGGCTGCGAAAGCTAGTGGCACACCGTTTTTATCCTTGGCATAGATGTAGGTCATGAGGGAGGGGAGGAGAGTCGATGAGAAGGGAGAGGTGTATTCTGTTATGAAGGCTTGGGGAGTAGATGAGGTGTTGCGGGTGGTGCGCCATGTTGTGTATATTTCTTGGAGATCTTTTTCTAATGTGGGATTGCTGCCGGGAATGTATATGTCCAGGGTTATGCCGCCTTTATTTGGGTTTAGGAGTTGTTTGTTTTGTAAAATGAGACGCTTTCCGGTTGATTCGTTGAGGAGGGCGTTGGTGGTGGGGTTGAGGACGCGTGAGGTCCCGAAGTGGAGCATTGTCCAGTTGTTTTTTGTAGTGGTCTGGGTTTGGCTCTGGGTATGGGCGTAGTGTGTGAGACGTGGGCTGGCGCCGAGGAAGGCCATGCCGAGGAGGTGGGATTTGCGATAGGTTTTGAATTCGGAGAGGAGAGACGGGATGTTCTCTTCCGAGCTGATGGGGTCGCCGGCGACTATGGCTGTTTGGTGTACGACTTTGAAGCACAGCGCGGCGGTGTGTGTGGTGTTGAGGAAGACGGTGTAGCTTGGGTCGAGGAGGGACATGTGCGAGACCTGGCTGTATTTGGCGGCTAAGTGGGTGAGGGTGGTGAGGGTGGAGAGGTTGGTGCAGGGTCCGCCGAGGGTGATGATGCGGTTGGAAGGGAGGGGTGGGAGTGATGAGGATGATGATGAGGGTTTGTGGAGTGAGTCATGGCTGGTGCGGCTGGAGGGGATGCTTTTGATGTCGGAGGTGGAGGCTGATGGGGAGGTGGTGAGGGTGCTGGAGCTGGTGCTGTTGATGCTGAGGTTGCAGTTGATGGTGGATGAGAGCTGAGGAGCCAGAGGATGGTGCACAGGTGCCCAGTGGGCGATGGGACAGTCAATGCGGGCTTGTAGGAGACGCTCGTACAGCGTCTGTCCAATGGTGTCGGCCAGCAGCACCTTGCGGTTTGCCTGCTGGGGTTTCTTTTGCTTGCGGGTGGTAGAAGAGGTCATGTTGGAGTGTTCATATGAACTGAAGTATGTATGATTGATATGGTGCAGTAGAGGTTTTCAGATACATATACAGATAGAAAAGTAGAAAAGAAGAGAGCAAGCAGAAGAAGTGCAATTGTACTCAGGACATATAGGAGAAATCGGACAAAGAGGAGACCCTCTAGGCTGCCGTCAGCACAGCCATTGGGCGCAGCGTGTGAGCGAGACGCTGGACTGCCCGAAGTTGTTGATCGGCGCGAACCCTGTCTGTGGGGGCCAGGGACAGTAATTACACGGGAATCGCCGTTATGAGGAAGCCTAATGGCTCTACTTAAAAAAGATTGGTTTCATCGTGTGGGAATCGCCGTTGATGACAATGAACTTAGAATAATCTTTACCAACCTTCCGTCTGCTGTCACTTACTTCCCTTAATATCCGTCTCTGTTAATTACAACATCGTGAAGAACTGTCGACCCCTAGAATATGGCTGCCTGGTGTGCTGCATGTTTGTTTCGTCTGGACCCTATTTGTGCCATCCAGGGTACAGCCATTGTGGGGCGACAGGTGTATTTGGGGGCCATGATTGGCCCGGCGGGCGGTTCCAAAAGCTTAGGGGTCTCGCCTTGCGGACCAGAGGCTTGTTGGTCAGCCCTATATGCAGCTCGGAATCCGCGGGTTGCCAGGCATCTGTAAATCGTTGTGGTGGCTGAGTGTCACAAATTGTGAGTAAGATGGGGCATTACCACATAGTTATGAGTAAAAGATAGCGTATTACTACAAGCATTAGCTGAATATTATTGCCTGTGCACAGTAAGCTCGTCCTGCACCTATCCCAATATCCTACTAGTCTTACGACTATTGCCTAGTAGCTCGGCTTAGCACAGCTAATACCAATTTAGCTACCTAACATAATATTCTGTCACTCTCGATCTTCAACAGTTTCTCGCCATTTTCATCCTTCACAACACGATGTCCTAAAAATGGCCCGATCAATCGCATCTCCACACTCATTTCGGAACGATCTCGGAATCATTCCATCGGAAGCACGTGATAGCAGCGAAAAGTGGCAATTTTTTCACAAGAATCAAATGAGTCAAAAAAGCAATTCTCAATTATTTATTCCAAGCTTTGCAAGTCAGCTAGTCGGTCGTTAGTATACCCGATCATAACCGATATCATTCCATTATCTTCATCATGCATCGACTGCGTCTCCCCACCATGCCCAAAACATGCATCCGTCCACAGCTGCAAACCCGCCTAATCAGCACCCCCTCACAACCCAAGCCAACCCCCGCACGCTCCCACCAGAAACCTCAGCAAGATGACTTGCGCATTATCCCCGCGACACCCAGTGATAGCCCCGCTATTGCAGATGTCTTCTTGCATGCTTTTTCCGACCCGTTCAGTCGACGCATGTTTCCCATCACCGAGGATGTGCGTAGTTTCTGGGTAGAGCAGTTCAAGCACGAGATTGAACAGTCGCGGGCTGCTGCTACTCCCAGCACTGCGTTCTTGAAAGTTACTGCGGGTGAAGAGGGGGTGATAGCTGCATTTGCCAAATGGTGGTATCCTGTCCCAGAGGGGTTGACCTCAGATGGTGAGAAAAATCAAACCAAGACAATCTGGCCCCCAAGCTCGGATGCCGATCTCTGTGAGCGATTCTTTGGTTTGATGAACAGCGAGAAGAAGAGGGTCATGGGAGGGAGAAAGGAGGGGTATTTCTGTGAGTTGTCCTTTTTCTTACTGTAGTATGACCTGCATCATGCTAATCGCTCAGACCTCGACATGCTGGGCACTCTCCCCCAGTTCAACGGCCGGGGCATCGGATCGAGGTTACTGCGTTGGGGACTGGACCGGGCAGATGAGAAAGGCGTGCCGACTTTCTTGGCTTCCACGCCTGCAGGACGGCCCCTGTATGAGAAGTATGGGTTCGAGGCGGTGGAAGAGTACGAAGTGATTCCGGGATATTTCCAGGCGTCGATGGTGCGGGAAGCAAAATTCTTATAAGAATATGATGTGTATAAAAACCTGTGTATAATATAAGAGAACTGACCCACTGAATATACGTATACTATCTCAGCGGTGAACCATTATCCAAGGACGCAATCTGCAGCTGCTAACTAGCAGGCCACGTAACCCCAAAAATAGGGCCAACCACGGATGATCGGCTCAGCCCTACAGGGCGGGCCCCACCCCATTTCCCAGGCCCAATCCGGCCAAATAGCCCATCTCCCATCCCCCCCAACCCCTTCCCCCTTCTTCTCTTCCCTCTTCTCTTCTCCTCTCTTCTTCCCTCCTCACCCCATGTCCCTCCCCCATGGTGGTCCAATTCCCACCTCACCACCACCACCATGTCATCTCCTCCCATCCCCAAGCTCCTCCGCGAGTCGAGCGACCTTACCATCACCTCTGCCTCAACCCCCAGCACAACCACGTCTACCACCACCATCATTCCGACAAACAATGTAACCTACACCCGCGCCCACCGAAAACCATCCACCAAGCTCACCACCCTCCTCAATCCCTTCCGCAAATGCACCCCACGACAAAAACAAAAATCAAGACGAAAACATAACTACAACTTCCAATTATCTCACCAACCTCTCTTCCGCAACTCCCTCCTCGCCGGCGTCGGCTTCCTTGAACTCGCCAACGCAGCAGACTTCGCCGCCAACGTGTGGAACCAGATCCCCGTCCCGAAATACGCGATGGTTTTCATGGCCATTGGTGGTCCAATCGCTCTGCTTATAACTCTAGTGGCAGCGAGGGACTTCTACCTCAGTTACACGAACGTGCAGTTACTCCTGAAAGAGCGGCGGTATCTGCGCGAGTTACTCGATTCCATTACCACCACCACCACAACAACAAACACAACAACACAAAATACAACCCCAAACCCAACCACAACCACAACCACACAAGCGGAGCTATTACTAAGAAGCAGACTCAGCGTCAACTTCCGCGAACTCGGCACCGAAATCGTCGACCGGATCCTCATGGACGCGCTCATGGGATTCGGCGCGCTTCTCGTCGGCACCGGAACCATCATGGCGATCTTCGGCGCGAATCATCACGTCTACGTCGCCAGCAACCTGCTCAGTGGATACATCGGCAATGGATTAGCCGCGGTGTTTGGACTCGTTAATGCCATTTGGTCGGGGTATTTGGTGGGCAGATTTCAGGTGTGTTGGAGAAGTTGCCAGAACATCACCAACACATCCACATCCACATTCACATCCACAACAAGAGAGGGTAATGGTAATAATAATAATAATCCTAACCCGGGAGACGAAGAAGACACTTGCATCGAAGAAGTGCGAATGTACCACCACCCACTGAAACTCCGCTTCCGCAGTCTGCAATTCCATGCCCTCGTGAACGGGATAAATGGTCTTGTGGCCGGCGCAGCGAGCATGGTTACCGCCACGATGTGGTACGGGTATGTCGTGTTGGTGCCGTGTATTGTCAGTCTCATCGCGTGTAATTGGTTTTGGAGAGTTAGGGTGGGGTATGATCGACCGTTGTTGTCGTCGAGTACTACGTCTGCTTCGTTGTTATCTACTACGGGGGGGCGCGGTGGTGGTGGTACAGCTACACCTACTACCACTACCACTACCAATGCAAATGGAGGTGGAGGAATTGGCAACGAAAAAAACGACCTCCTCCTCGACCTCAGCAGCGCAACACATCTCCACCGCATGCTTGCATCATCCACCAAAGATAGTGGGATCCAACTCCCCCGCCACATCCTCAACCGCACAAACCCCTCATCCGTCATGTCCTTCCTCACCCGGAATGGCATGTTCGAGGGCTTCTGCGTCTGGATCGATCATGATAAATCGCTAGAAAGGGGTGTGGAGGATTTACTTGATCTTGAGTCTATAACGTCCACATCTGCTTCTTCCCCCGGAGGGAAGAATACCGCCAACAACAATAACAATAACGAAAAACCAAACGAGGAAAATAACACTGTTGATGAAGAAGTGGAACTCTCCCTCACAGCCGACGACTTCCTCACCCTAGCCCGACACGACAGCGACATCCTCCTCCGGAAAATGAACGAGTACTTGGATGGGAATGTAGTCCGGGCTGTGGCGTATCGGGAGAGGTTTCTGTTAGAGGTGTTGGGGGTGGTTGTTTATTTGGAGTCGGGTCCTAAAGATGGGGGTGAGGTGGAGAGGAAGAGGAGGTGGTGGTTTGGGTGTTTATAACTTTGTTAATGAGGAGTAGGATGCTACTGTAGTACCTGGTGTATTATGTGAGATCATGGATGTGCTGGACACGGATGGTGGTGTGGTGTATTGCATGCTTGCGTGCATTAGCTTGTTTGATTGTTCTTTCGCTGTGGGTATGTATGCTGTATATGCTGGCATAGAATAGATTAATATTGTGGATGGTGGGATTGGATGGTTTGGGTAATGTACTACTAATACTAATAATGCATCATGTCATCATATCATATCATTCTTTGATATTCTCTATCGTAACTGTTGTGTATGTAGCAGGGACATCACTCTACATATACAGGCGCCTTCACCAATACATTCATCGGTCCTTTTCCTCTCACTTCCGCCGTCACGAATGACGCAAATCGGATACGTCCCGGTCCGCGCTCGCGCTCCTCTCGAGTCTCCCCGGCTGGAGCGGACGGTCCAGGACGCCGTCCCATCAACGAGCTGAACACCGACCGCATGCGCTGCTCCCGCTGCGGCGGTACAGGGTCGCCTCCCTCTGTCTCGTCCGGGCCCTCTGCCCGCTCCTGCTCGGCGGAGCCACCAGACTCGGTCCGCACATGGGTCAGTGGTGGCAGTCCCGTCTCGACCTTCATCGTACCCTCCTGGACGACTGTGCCGGGGAGGATGTACTCGACGCAAATGTCGCGCGACTCCAGCGGGATCTTCTCGGCAATGCCCACGGCGTTCTCCACGATCATGCGCGCCCCGTTGTCCAGCCCCGGTGGCGGCGGGTCGTGCAAGTGTGCTACCAGCGTCGCTACCAGGCTGTTGATCAGTCGGTCAATGAGCTGGGCCCGGTACTCGTCCGCCTGCGGACCCTGCAGGTTCGTGAGTCCGTCCAGTGTGGTGCGCCGCCAGTTGGAGATGCGCGCGATCGCGTTCTCCTTGTCTTCTTCTGTAGACGGCTGCGCTTGCTGTCGTCGCAGGTTCATCTCGATGCTTTTCAGCTGTCGGCTGAAGGTGGGCTCCAAGGCTGGGTGGAAGTAGCGCTCGAACAGTTCCTCGACTAACCACCGGCTCACCACCGCCCGGCCGATCGCGGTCATCTCTTTAGTGCCCGTGGTGTGTGCGTCGTCATTGACGAACCCGTTCAGCCAGGAGGGCAGTGTCGCCCAGTCCTTGCGGATGGAAAAGGCTAGATCTTTGATCGCACCGTCCAGTCGACCGAACCGATTGGCATACTCGTTGTCATCCAGCACGGTGCGGGACACGGCCATACGTTGGTGTGCTACGGTATTCTGAAGGTGCTGTACCTGCGCTTCCTTTTCGAAGTAGTAACGCTTAACCTTGGAGTATTTGGCCTCTGCATTTGATTAGCGATGGTTCATCCAGAGCGGTGGCAGCAGCTACTTACGAAGCTCATCATGCTTCTGGACTAAAGCCCGCACATCTATCTCGGCATCCTCACGGTCACGTCGGCTCTCACGCGAACTGGGCGTGTTCCGGCCTTGCTCTGGCGTCGACGCGGTATTGTTCCGGAAGCCAGCTTCCGGATAAGGGGAATGCCCAGGGACAGGAGACTGTCCTGGGGGCGCGGATGGACGGTCGGGCATGCCACTGGCAACCGTGTCTGGATGAACGGGGAGTGGGCGTAAGGGTGAAGGGGGCCCAAGGGATTGGCGGGAAGAAGGTCGAGGGCCGACCGTGGGGTCCAGTTGGGGCGGTGTTGGGGCCAAGTCAGCGGGCTGTCGGGACGGCTCCACCGGTGACGGGCGAGTCAGATGTTCCAGCAGGCCGCTGTCGGTATTGGAGCGCTGGACGGAAGGATGCGGTGAACGAGGAGGTCGGGTGTCGAGCGTCGGCGTCGGACCTGTGTTCTGCGGCATGGGTGATCGACTTGCTGGCTGCTGTTGTGCTTGAGGGTGGTTCCGCGGAGGCTGAACCGGAGATTCTGCAGGAGTATGGGACGGCGTCGGAGTTTGTGATTGGGGCTGAGACTGAGGTGCCTGACCCTGAATTGACGCCGGCGGTTGCTGCTGCTGCTGCGGTTGTTGTTGCGGCGGTTGTTGGGTTCGACGGGCTTGAGGAACCTTGGGCCACGGGGCGTCTAATTCATGCTCTCTCGACCAAGAGGTTCCCGGGCGGCGTTCGGACGTGGTGTCTATGGACAACGGTCGCTGTTGTTTGGAGGATCGACCCGTGGAGATTTTCTTGACCGACCGGCTGCGCTGCAGAATTCCGGACTGGTCGCGCGCGGCTGCAGACGAGTGAAGCGAGAAGAGACTGCGACGGGATTTGCGAGGTTCTGGCTCGACAGGTTGTAGTGGCTCGGGTGGCAGCGGCCACGACTGATTGAGAGGGTCAGCATCGAGGATGGGTGCAGGGGACGCTGGCCGTACCGGAGTGTTGTCGTTACTGTTGTTGCCTCGCGGGCTGGTATGACGCTGACTTTTGGAACGACGCAGGGGATGGGTGGAAAATTCCTGGGTATTATTATCGTGTTGATAGAGTTGCGGAGAGGCACCGGGCGTGGTGGAGGTGGAAGTAGAAGCGATGGTGTTGGTGGTGTTGACAGCAGTGGAAGAAGGCGGGGAGGTGGTGGTGTTGGTGTTGTTGGTGGAGGATGAAGTGACAGGCAATGGAGGGAGTCGCTCGCGGGAGGTGGAGACGGAGAAACGACGGTCGAGATCGTCGTCGGGGTAGACGCCAGGGGCAGCGGGCAGATGCTCGACAGATCGGAATGCAGACGCGGCAGCAGACGGCTTGTGCTTACGGCGAAAGAGGGGCATGGAGAAGGGTGAGGGAGAGAGGATTTATGGGAGAGAGGGAAAGGGGAAGAGAGAGGAAGGGGGACAAAAAATAAAAAAGTAAGACGGAGAGAAAAGAAGGAAGAAAAGGAAGAGGAAGAGGGGAGAGAGAGAGATAGTCCAATGCAGGATGAGATGGGATTCAATAAAGAAAGTGAGCCATTGGGTCCGGGCGGCCCCAAGGCGGGCTAAATTGCACAGCCATTGGACTCGAGGCCAAACAACTACTTGATAGTACAAGGCTGGTGCTGACGGTCGCCTTTTAGCTGCAGTCCAAAGCCTCGCCTCCACGTTTCACCTTGACTAGTAGAGATCATGGGAGATCCACTATCAGCACTGTGAATGTCTTATTTCATTCGCATTCATGTATCGGAGATGTCTAGCATCATTGTATCCGTGTTATGTCCATGCCTCTCATATACAGTTCATGTCCACCATCCTCCACTGTCATCTAACAGAGTCTACTCTAACACACACCGTGGGTCTTGCCATGCTTGCCCTGCAAGGAATGGGTCTCGTTCTTGTAGTGAGGGTGCACATGCTTGGACTTGTGCGAGTTGGTCGAGTGCACCCGGACATGACTATTTCGGTTAGCAATTGCTCAGATCGACACCATTCTCACCAAGGGTAACTTACTGAGTGTACCGCTCCAACATCGCTTTGTCCATGTCGCTGAGCGTCTTCAAGGCCAGCTTAATGTCCGCCAGCAGCGCATCGCACCGGTTCTTGCTAAAGTCCTCGCGCACCACCACCCGCATCAGCTTCAGCGAGTTGCTGTTGGGCGCCATCGTGTACGCCGGCACGATCCACCCGCGCTCACGCAGCTGGTGCGCCAGCGCAAACTCGTCAAACTGCTCCGAGTCGCGGTCCGCCGGCAGCCGGAACGCCACCAGCGGCAGGCCCTTGCCGCCGCGCTCGCTCATGATCACAAAGCCCAGCTGCTCCAGCTGCTCGGCTAAGTAGTCGGCAGTGCGTGTGATGTTCGTCATGATCGACCGGTAGCCCCGCTTGCCCAGTCGGATCATCTGGTAGTACTGTCCAATGACCTGCGACGCGCCCTTGGAGAAGTTCAGCGTGAAGCTGGCCTGCTCGGCTCCCAGGTAGTTGATGTTGAAGATCAGCTCCTTGGGCAGGTACTCGGGCGAGCGCCAGACAACCCAGCCAACACCGGGGTACACCAGCCCATACTTGTGACCAGACACGTTGATGGACACCACCTTGGACAGACGGAAGTCCCACTCCAGGTTGGGGGCAACGAAGGGGGCGACGAAACCACCACTGGCGGCATCGACGTGGATGGGGCAGTCAATGCCCCGCTCGACGAGGAGGTCGTTGATGGCCTTGACGTCCTCGTACTCACCGGTGTAGGTGGTTCCCAGGATAGCGCAGATACCAATGGTGTTCTCGTCGACCAGGTCGACGGCCTGCTTGGGGTCAATCACGTAGCGATCCTCCGTGCAGTAGACGTAGCGCTCCTCAACATCGAAGTAGCGGGCGGCCTTCTCCCAGCACACCTGGACGGCACTGTTCATGACGATGTTGGGCCTGGAGGCATCCTTGCCCTCCGCCTTGCGCTTGTTCTGCCACCGTCTCTTCATGGCCAAGGTGCCCAGCATGATGGCCTCGGAGGATCCGATGGTAGAGGTACCCATGGGGTGTTCGTCATCACTGTCGGTGGGAGCGTTGAACAGACGGGCAATCATGTTCACACAGCGGTTCTGGATCTCGGCGGATTGGGGGTATTCCTCGTAGTCGATGAAGTTCTTGCTGAAGGACTCGGTCATGAGCTTCTCAACTTCCTCTTCCTACTCGAATTAGCATTGTGCTGATACCCTAGGAGCAAAACACATACCATGTAGGTCGTCACGAAACTCGCAAGGCTGTGAAGGGATTAGCCTTTGGTCATGTCTTGCTATCGACCGAACCTACTTGAGCATGGGGTTTCCATCCAGACTGAGCTCATCCTTGATCATACGGTAGGCCACCTCGCGAGGCATCTCCCGCTCCGGCATCTCCGTCGAGGGCAGCTGTTCCGTAGCGAAACGAGTGCCGTAGACACTGGAGTAGAAGGCATCATCCTCAAGCTGGATGGAGTCGACCCGTTCAGCGGTCTTCTCGACATCACTGTCGCGCTTAACCTGAGCAAGATGGACCATTGTGCCGAATCAGATGTGTAAATGTGGATGAATAGGAAGAAGAGAGAAGAAAGCGATGCTAGAAAAACAGCGACAGGAAAAGGGGGAGCGCAGTGATGTAAATAAGAGAAAGGAGGGGCGCAACAGCAGGCTCCCACGATCAGCCAACGGCCGTCAATCCAGTTAGCTCATTGAAACTGTCCCCCCTGCTCCCTGTTCTGGCCTGCCGCAACATCCGTCAGCTCACACAACACGGGAGGAGGGAACAGCCACTCGTTGGCTGTTGTCCTCAGCCCCCGAGAGGTGGCAGCCACTCATGGCGCCCCTTTCCTGTAGCTCAGACACAGTCCTAAATCCCAGACTAGTGCTGGAGGAGACGCCCATCGCCAGTGACGGAGGGACGAAGGAGTGGGGATCGAGGTTTGGGACCCCTCCCTCGTGTGATCGGATGGGCGAATCATCAGACAGTGACCAGGGACACGGCGCTAAAGCTTAAGGAAAGCTTGGCCTGGATCGGTCGGCAACCGGTGGGAATTGTCTCAGCCACGATGGGAATGGAGTCAGGATGGAGACTGATTCACCCAAAAGTCCGAAAGAGGGGAAGACGAGGACGAAAGGGAGGCGCGAATTCCCTCATCGTGGGGCGGCAAGTGGAGGGGCTGACGGAGGGATCGGCCAAGGTAAGTGATAGTAAGTGATATCATCGCTGACTAGCCGATCGAAGTATCCCCTTTCTTGGAAGGCCTTGGAAGGATCAATCATCAGAATATCATCAGAATAGAAATGAGAAGAGATAGCGGCTGTGGTGGGGAGGAAATAAACTCGCCCAGAAAATAGTGGCGAGTTTGAAGGGAAGCTATTGATGGAGCTGTTAAAAGAGGTGGAAGCAGTGGAAGCAGTGGAAGAAGTGGAAAAGATGTGACGGGGATTTCTTCTCCTGGTGGTCCCAACTAACCCCAAAGAGATTCGGGTTTGTCCCTCGTAATAATTAATTAAAATCCGATAACCACTGCCGACATCCTCGTCGCTGCAAATGGCGGTGAATTGCCGTGATGTGTTGTCCTTTTTGGCAACTATCCACTCTTTGGAATAGCTTCGCCAAGTGCCCAGGTTGGCAGCTCCCAGCCATCACCCCGTACTTACTTACTATACGTCTACATCGCTCACGAATAAAAAGATGAAGAAGTATCCCGGTCTCCTCCGGAACCACCACATCAAAAAACAATAATCAAAATCATCACATTTCCCCTCCATTACCATTAAGCCAATTACATACACTTCGTCCCAGTCTCGGCCCATGCAGCCAGCCCAGATGAACATGAACATCAACATGAACGTGAACTTGAACATGAACCATACGTCCGTCCGAAATACAAAATAGCGCTTTGCAGCATCCCAGTCAGAAAGCCCAGCCCAGCCCAATCAAGCAATTAATCAAGCAATCCTATCCCTGGTGGTATCCTGTCCTGGCCATTCATATCGTACACCCGCCATCCATCATCATACTAAGGCGTTATGTTATCTCTGGTATCTTTCTGCCTAGCCTGGATTTTTTTTTCTTCTTTTTCTTTTCCCTTATTCCATATTTTTATTGGGTTTTGTGTTTTTGCTTTTTTAATATCCATCACTCCATGCAATCATCCATGTTGGGGTATCAGCAATATGGGCTCCTGGGCCGGCAACCGCTCGCCAAAGGAGCCAAAAGTTCATTCCGGAGAACACCTCCGGCAGGAAAAGCGCAGAGAAACGAGGCAGAACTCTAGTTCTTCTCGCCCTTGATCTTGCGCTTGAGCCAGGCGAAAAGTCCGCTCTTGCGCTTCTCGGCCTTGCTGCTTTCCGACTTCGCAGTCTCCTGGGGCTTGACGGCCTCGCCCTTGGCCTGCTCAACGCTCGTCTTGCCTTCCTCAACCTTCGGGGCAGCGGCGCCCGCTTGCTGGGTCTCTTGTCCGGTTTGAGCGGCTTCGGGCTTAGCAGCAGAGGTGCCTTCCGCCTGAGGCTCCGACTTGACCTCCTCGGCCTTCTGGGCAGCAGCGCCTTCCTCTTTCTGAACAGACGAAACTCCTTGGGTGGCCGAGGTCTCGGTCTTCTGGGCCTCCTGGGGCTTCGTGTCCTTGATCGTAGAGGGGACAGCGCTGAGGCGCTTGGAAGTCTCTGGTGTCTTGGTCGCCTGCTCCTTGTCTTCCGCAACCTTCAGGGGCTGTTCAGCCTCAGTGGCCGTGGGTGCAGCAGTGGTGTCCTCCACAGTCTTATCCGCTGCTTTGCTCTCACGTCCAGAGGGTCTGATGATGGTGCTGGGAACAACCGCAATAGGCTCGCTGTCTGCGGCTGCGGCCGGGGCCTTGGTCGCCGTTGCTGGCTCCGGCTGTGTCAACTCGGACGTCTGCTTAGCGCTGGCAGTACTCTCAGGTACTTCAGAGGGAGCGATGGCTGCAGCAGTCTCGGGCTTGGTAGAAGCTTCCACTGGGGCAACAGCGGTGGTGTCAGCCGCCGCGCTGGACGGAGCTTCGGTAACCTTGGCCGGGACGGCCTCGGTAGTCTGAGGTACTGTCGTGCTGGACGCAGCTCCAGCATCCTTGTCCGTCGCGGCAAGTCCGGCAACTTCCAAGTCCTTCGACGCCTCATCAGCGGAGCCAGCACCAAGCCCCGGGACAACCTGTGGCTGCACGATGGTGCCAGTAGGAGCCGGAACAGTGTCTGCGGCTGCTGCCTTCTCGGTGGCAATGACGGGTTCATCTTCCACCTTGGGCATCTTGTGGGGCTTGTGGTCATCCTCCTTGGTGGTGATGCTGCTCTCGTAGGGTCGCTTCACGTGGGCATCGGCGGTCTCGGGCTCGAGGGTGCTGGTTCTGACAGGCAGGGTTGTGGTATCCGCATTGGAAGCTTCAAGGGTGGAGGTGGAAGGTAGTACAGCTGGTGACAAACATTGTCAGCAAACTATCAGCCCTGCGCAAATGCGCACCCATTGGGTTACTTACTCGTGCCCTCCTCCACTGTCTCCGCCTGAGCAGTCTTCGTCTGCTGCGCAGCGTCCTCTACGATGCCATCGTTTATCTTGGGGAACGCGGTATTGACTGCGTTTGAGGCCTCCTCAGTGAAGTTGACCGGAGGGGCAGGCGCGGGGACCGGGGCGGCGGTGTCAGTAACGGTGGCCACGGGTGCCGCAGTCACTGCAGGAGCAGTCTCGGCAGCGACGGCTTCGCTCTCACTCTTGGCGACAGTCTCAGGGATTGTGGTCTCGGGTGCTGAAGTCACACCAGTGTCGGCACCTGCAGCGACGGCTCCAACTTCGCTTTCGTCCTTGGTAACTGTCTCGGGGACGACAGCCTCAGGCGCAGTGGTGTCAGTGACGCCTGCCTCGGTAGCGACAGCTTCGAGCTCACTGTCGCTCTTGGTGACTGTTTCCTCGACCTCGTTGGCTGGTACACTGTTCCGGAGAGAAAAATGTCAGTGTCATTTGTGCGAAACAAGATTGCGATGACGAAACAACAGCACAATGCGGGTGCGATTGAGTTCTACTCACACATTGTTGGGGGCATCGACTGCTTTCTTTGCGGCAGCGGCAGCACCGCCGCTCTTCTTGCCCTTGTTCTTGTTCTTTCCTCCTTTCTTAGGCATTGTGATGGATTATCCTGTGCAGCAACAATATTGTTAGTGCACTGGCAATGACGACAACGAGTCAATTCAGCAGTGGGTGGACAAAACCTACAGTCTGTGCGAACGGAATGGACACGAGTCGTGGATGCGAAACGTCGAGGTCGTGCGATTCCGAGAATGGGGATTAAGAACCAACGGCAGATGAAGTGGGAAGTTAGGGGCGGGCTGGTCTGGTATGTTGCCCTGTGGCCCTTTCCGATTGCCTAAATCGATTCGGGGAACGTTAATCCGTGGAGGGCCGGGTCAAGGTGCAATTAATTTGCGGGTAACACTGAACCACTGGCGCTTGGATTGATTTCAAGCTGCACGCGACCAGTGCAATTCAATGTAGGTAGACCTGTAGCGCGTGTTGTAGTTGAACTGGCGCCAGTTCACACAGGAACAATCTGTGAATGAATGCTTGTGGGAGCGGGGGAATCCAAACGAGGGCGAAAGTCACGCCGCGGTCACATGGGGTCGTGTCGAAGGGGACAGCAGGGTTAAGATTGGAAGGGGCACAGTGCACGCGGATCCAAATATGGGTTGAATTGCGCGTGGATGAGGGTTGCAGATGTTTATTACCTGCAGGCGCATTTCCATGGGCTCGGCTTGGATCCCTACAAATCCTCCTTCATCTCCTTTCAACAACATCCTGCTCTCAGTCATGACTACAAAAGAGACAACAATCATGTTGGCCAGCCATGATGGCAGTTGCTATTCTGCACCAGACCGAACCCAGCTCATGCGCTGCTTGCGGCTTCTACAGAAATGGCAGGAATGGCAATTACGAAGCGATTGAGTGTCAAGCAAGCAGTATGGCAGCTGGAGCTGGCGCACATCCCCCTGATTCCGGCGAGTCGGAACTGTACCTGCAGCTTGGGGCTTAACAAGCCATGTTAAGCGGACTAATTCTCAAGCTTGCAGACGATCCCATCCCGCCCCGGCGGGACCTGAGTTTATCCGTGGCGAGCCGTCCGCACAAGGCAAGGTCTCACTTGACCGGAGTTACTACATACGTATGGAGTACAATGCCTTTATGCATTCATTGCATTGGCTAATATAGCCAATTAATGAGAGGTTGAACTTGCAGGATATCTATTGACCACTAACCAAACTATCAGGATACTAATCAAACCACAAAATCGAGTCTGCTGCTACACTATACAACTTACAATCAACCATTACTATGATTACTTGTTAGGTACTTTGTAGAAGCAGAAGGTACGGTGACACTCGCGCCCGTGTTCGATCGGTCGATTGCATCATGAGGCATGCCGTCGGGTCCAGGATCGGCCAAACCCGGACAGGGAATGAAAGGTTTAGGAACCGTTTCCGGTCGACATGCCAGCCGTCGTCGTGTCCTTAACCAATTCAGTAGTGAAAGCCAAGACCTAGCCAGCTGCTTGAAATAGACACTGTACACTTGTATACAGTCCAACAACAGTATCACGTGCCTCAATATGACACAACCCACCACACAGAAACGTCTAGTATATATTAAGTAGCTCGAGCTGAGACGGCCGCCCAAACCGGCAGCGCAAGGTGGCCACTACTTTAGTTAGTATCCCTTACCGATGACAAGTGGCCAAATCGTCAACTTCTTTCCTCTGCGCCCCAAACTATCGGGGACGGCGTATGTAACATGTATACATGCCCGAAGAAGTAAGTTTACGGGCGAAGTTGACGGAAGGATCATGTCTGGGGAGGCGAAACCCGGGGGTGAGTGGTCTGCCATGATGACATCATGGAAGGGAGGGCGTAAGTTAGTTGACGGTGGTTGTTGCAATGCCACGCCGAGCAGTGTGGTGACGGCCCAACAACGTGCCAGGTTTGGCTGGAACCCCTTGCGTCTCACACAATTTTTTAAGTTTCAGTTCGTTGTTGGGTTATGCTGTATGATTCCATATACTGCGTGCCTGACGATGGCAGAAAAGAAAAAAGAGATATATCAAGTGGGTAGGCACTTGGGCATACCCTGGTATTGAAGGATGGGGGAGCAAAAAAGAATGACCTACGCAGGACTCGAACCTGCAATCTCTTGATCCGTAGTCAAGCGCCTTACCATTGGGCCAGCAGGCCTATTTGATGAAAGATGGCTGTGATAATTTGCTACAAGATCCAAAGATAGCCGTTTTGGTCACCGGAACTACCGTGCCGAGTGGGGGCGACTCCGAACCACCTTCAGCGGGGCACTCGGAATCCACGATTATGCCAGCGATATCATTCGTGCAATTACTTATCGTCCATGGGTGGTTCTTTATCTCATTAGTCAAACCGTTTGCTACTGTGTTCGTACTAGTTACTTGTCTGAGATGAGAACTTCTTCCCAGTGGCACCGCACCGTTCTCGGTTCCGGCGACTGACGTGGGATAGTTACTACCAAGTCATCTGGCGCCCCCCAGCCTATCTACATCCGACAGCAAACAGAAAGAAGCATCCAGATTCCAGCCTCCATGAAGGAACGAATGATGATTGATGCCGGGGAAGTCGCAGGGTTACATCCCGATCGCTACGATGGGAAGAACAAGATGCAGCTTGACTCGAGTCGGTCGGTGGTGGCACGTAGATCGGACCGTCTTGGCTGTGTTTCTGGAATCGTTCGGTGCAGCAAGACCACGACAGCAAGAGACAGACAGACAGATACCTTGCTTGATCTTTTTGCCATTGCCACACACGCACTTACTCACACACCATCATGCAAGTCCTGCCGACTGGGCGATAGTACACCGTGATATACACCTGTCTTCTGCAGCAATCTTACGAAGCCCAGCCCAGTCCGTCGGCTGGCCGGCCAGCCCTGCAACATGTTGGGGGAAAGTGTAAGTTAACATGAGAGTGGTGGGAAAAGAGAACCCAGAGTTTTACTACTACCTACCACCCTCTTGACTTTCTTCGGCCGGGGTTGCGTAACTTCCCGACCACTCGTAATGCGGAAATTGGTCTGGGAGGTTGGCGCATCCAAAACCATGGTTTAGATAGGACTGTTTTGGGCTTAAGGTAGTACCTTGTTCTGGCGATGCAACCCGACGGTGAACCTCCTCCAATGGACGTCTGATTGGAAGGTAAGTAAGAAAGAGGGCCACACCGAAGGAGGGGGGCAAGTTTACAGTACGGTTCAGAATCAAGGGGTTAGTCAGCTCTAGGCTAACTGGGAAAGGCAGAATCGGGACTCGGCACTCTATGGCCGGGTTTGCAGAAGCGCCGCGGAAAAGAATGAGAATGAGGGAAATATTTCGTTATGGAAAATGCTTAACGAAAAATGTCATGTTTGGGTGGTGTCCCGCTTTAAGGACGGGAGGGGGAAACAAAGTGACTGGTGATGATGACGATGAAGACTTTCTTTGCCATCCTGTCAGTCATTTTTCTTTGTATTTCTACACTTATAAGTTATTTTACTATTATCCCTCAAAGCATGGAATTTTATGATCTAGCATATTCCTTCGTCGAGTGACATAAAACCCCAAGACTTATAATAATTAACTCAACTACTGCACAAGCTGCTACACTCCGAGTCTCATTCCCCATTCTGTCTTCCGGCTAAGAACAATCAGGCTAAGCTTGGGAAATTCACGCACAACCCTCTCTCCCTCCTTCCTGGCTCAACCCCCCCGGTGGATCCTCCACGTTCGGCGTTTGTTTCTCGTTCACGCCTCGGATTTGGCCGCAGGTAATCGCGGCTTACCCAGTTACCGGCTCTCTGCCTCTTACCCTCCCAAGAAAGTCCCAACCCTCCCAGAGCCGTGGGGTTAGGTTAGGTTACCTTGGCCTGTGCAGAGCAAAAAGTAAGGTCAAGCGAGCCATGATAAGTCACCAACCGGTAAGTCAATGGCCGCCCCAGTGCATTCTGGGAATGGTTTACTCCGTTTCCTCCGTTGGATGGAGCCCCGTTGTGGTGGTATGGAACTAACGGCATGGTGCCTCGCACCGCTCGTTCCAATCAGATCCCTTCCACTTCGAACTACGAGTAATTAATTCCCCATCGCATTGTATCATAGGTATGGACGCTGATTCCGATTACTCCTCCCAGTTAGTCGTGCTGTCTCTCTAACTATCTGGGACTGCTGCTCCATTAGTTCCTTGACATAATCCCCATCATATCTCTCTCTTCCCTCAGTTACCCTTTAGTCTAGCCCTTCCTTCCTCTCGTCTCTCTCTTACTTCACTATCTACTCTCCCCTCTTCTTTCTTTCTTCCTTCCTTCGTTCTTCCTTTCTTCTACTCTCCCCTCTTCTCCCCTCCACCCCCCTCTCCTCTCCACCCCACACTTGGTCTAGGCAAACGATGATACGAGGGTTTCTGGACCTACTCGATTGTCGTCTGTGCTTGCACACCCTCCCTCGCGTCCATTCCCTCCCTGGGAAAGGTATGCAACATTGAGGTCTTGAGTCGACGGTTGAACGCATAACCCCTCCTATCACAACGATCTTCCACACATATCGACACCATACACCACCATATCGCCTGGCTTTTCCACCCCGGTCAACATGAGTTTCCGAGAAAAGGTGCGGAGGGTGTTCCGCCGGTCCAGCAGTGGGTCCTCGTCCAAGGGCAAGGGCAATGGAATCAAGATCGAATACTACAAACGCGGCGAAATCCCTCGGTCAAAATTCAAGGGCCCTTTCGACAAGGAACATCAACGGAAACTTGCAGCATGGTCGTTTGGGGACGCCCAAGCGGAACGCCCGCGTACTCCCGATCTCAGCCTCTCCCCCTGTGCGTCCATACCGGATTTCATGAGAGCGCGGTACGAAGAAGACGCCGCCGACGACCTCGCCCCCGATCAGATTCGAACAGTACGACCCGAAGTAGATGTGACAGTTGGTATGTGGGATACTTCCTTTCGTCAGCCCTTTTGGATGTTGTCCAGCCCTGGACCTATCATAAAATATGCCATGTGTAACGATCAGCCATCTGACCAATCACCAGATCCCCCTTCGGTTCACCATGACGAATACGCCTGCGGCCGACAAGGAGAGAGCGGCTCATCATCATCCACAGCCGTGGAGCCTGAAAGCTATAGCGAGTCCCTGATGACTCTGTTTGCCGACTTCGACCGGGTTGACTCGATCGCCCAGCTGAAAGAAACGATCCGCTACACTTCCCCGGCTGTACGAGCGATTTCGCCGCCCCCCTTGTCGCCCAAGGGGTGTTACATGCCATTCTCACCGGAGGAGCTGACACGGGCGTTGAACGCCGTGCAGATCTGCTCATAGTACCTTTTTTAATTCGCTCCGACTTCCGGCAAGATCTTCGCTTCCCCCCATCACGTGATGCCAACTCAATAGGGATACCGACCCTATCGACAATGGTCCCTTTCTTTTCTATTTCCGACTCCGCCATCCATTTCCACCTTTCTCCTTTTAACATTTACTATGCGACACAGGTGTGAGCATCTTACCTTCTTCGAACCCTCCCGCCGTGGGTCGCAGAAGGCGGCACTGAATACCCGGTCGTGTTCAAGGCTGCCATTTTCCGACGGCTGACGCAGTCTACATATGCAAATCCGGCGTGAGGGGCGTCTGGAATTTATTGCATCTGCCCTGGACGGAGTCGGTCCTTTCCACGCATGAAACGAGCAACGTTCGAAAAGCGTCTGTTTTGTGCTTTGAGTGCTTCGTGCATTGCGTTTAAGCGTATACCCATCCAACTGAGTTGCTTGGTTTTCCCAACCCGTCATGTGTGCTGGTGCCTTAGTGGGTGCCTACTACTAGCACCGAGGATTCTCCCACCGGCCACTGACCCGACTTGTACTTAATGTACCTATCTAACTGTAAGGTAACACAATGAAGAAATAATAATAAAGACCCGTCAAATAGCGTAGTGTTCAGAAGAAGTAGATTACAGTACGTAGTGAGTAGTGAGCCACCTCGCCTCACTCCCAGAAAAGCAATAAAGTAATAAGCAATAGTAATCAAGAAAAAAGTATCCCCATAAATCAAGCCACTATCGACAATAAGCCTCGTCAATCATCCCTCCTAGTCCGCGCCACACGCGCATCACCAACGCCAAAGCCAATCCCGGAGTAGTGGCAATCAGTCAGGGTTCAAGAGCAACAGCAGGGGAAAATGATTTCACCCTCTCCGCCAAGACATTCCAGACTGCGATCTTCGGTCGGATACTTCAGCCAACTTTGAATTTTTGACTTTTGACTTTCCTTCTTCCTTTTTTTTTTTTTTTTAGAGTAAGGTTTACTTTTTCTTACTACGTACTACGGAGTAAATTGACCGGTTTGATCGACGGTGCCGCGAAGCACTAGTTTGATTTGATCTGTTAATAGTGTGTTTGGACTTGGACTTGGGACTTTGGAGGGGCTGTCTGTAGTCGTTCGTCCGGGTGTTGTGTTCGGGTCCGGTCGGGATGGTCGGGTCGGGCGGGGTGTTGCTTGCTTTGCTTTGCTTCTTGTTGTGCTGCTTCTTCTTCTACTAAGCTGTAGATGTAACTTTTAGTCTGCTTGGTTATTATTTTTTTTTCTTTCTTACTTGTATTATTTGTATTGGTTTAATAGTTATGAGGGTGAGGGTGAGGAGGCTGGCTGGATGAGGGAGGAGGGGTGAGGGATGATGATCTGTGCAGTGGGTGGGTGAGTGGATGGTGATCGTGCATTAGTATCGCTGCTCAGATCGCTGAACTAGACTTGATTATGGATGGTGAGGTGGGTGTTACAGTAGTTGCTTCTGGGGTGCAGAGGCTAGGTTTTATTTTGTTTTCTTTGGATACTACTACTTACTATTTTCTTGTAGTTGGTGCTTACTTACTAGTAGTAAAGGTATATATCTACACGGTTACTCAGGTGGACACTACTGACCTATGACCGTACTAGTGTAGAAAACAAATGTTAGTATTACTTCAATAAAACTCGAAAACTAATCATACAATTCAATCTCAAGATAAATCTAATAGAAATATGTATGCATGTACCTAAGATTGCTTATCTTTCTTCCTAAGCTAACTGCTGGTCCTTGCTTCTGCGCTGACGAAGTTAATCTGTACCCATTATGTAGCTAGCTGGTTATTATTGATGGCATGGCTCAGCTGATGGTTATTTACGGTAGTCTATGGTCTTGCTCATCTTGATTGTAGTTTGCATATGCTAGATGGATTGCAAACTCTCTGGCTGGCTTGGTGACTTCTTGTCTCGTACTTTTGCATATTAGGTTGTGTCTGTTGTGGTGGGTAACTCAGTGACCATTGGATTCAGGTTGATGGCAGAGGTATTTTAGAGATGAGAGTCAAATTTGAAACTCTTGATATTTGCTTAGTACTTCTATTGTCAAGGATATTATTCTAGCTGGGCGGTGATGTAGCGGAACATATTATATTGGAGTAAGCGTAAGTCTAGAATGTATACATTTTGGCGTGCAACGCGGGACACAATCGATACTCTGGATACTGAATAGGTCATGTCTTCCTTGTTCTGATAAGACACTGCGTAGCTAACGAAAGATACATACCGATTGGCTCATCAGTATAATCCCTACTGCTTTATCCAGGTCAGTCTCCCTTGCTCTCATTCTTCGTTGGCATGTTGGATTCGCAATATTATCCCGGCACCGCCTTTTCCCGCCTCGTCTTACATACTGTAGTTCTCATGTATGCAGTAAACAGCACCTCATCAATCTCACACGATGACTCTATTCCGTCATACAATCAACAAACCTCTCCGCTCCCTGTACCATAAACCCAGCAAATCCCTATCTTTAAAGTCTACCCCCCCAACCTACCCACTAGAAGAAGAACGCAACCCCCACTACAACCCCAAGAAATACTATCCCGCCCGAATCGGAGAAACCATTGGGAACAAATACTGTATCATCTCTAAATTAGGATGGGGTGCTAATTCCACCGCGTGGTTAGCGAAGGATATATCTCGGTCAGTCACACATGGTATTATTTATTGGTAGAGCCCACACACACTAGATATCTATCTAACACCATAAAGCTGGCCCTGGCAATCAACTAAATACGTAACCTTGAAGATCACGAACTCTGGTGAAGGGGAGAAGAAAGCCGCGGAGGATGAACTGAACATATCGCAGCATATTTCCCGACTGCGGTCTGAGCATGAAGGTCGTGCCTATGTTAGACTCGTTCAGGATTCGTTTGAAGTACAAGGTATCCTTGGAGATCATCTATGTTTGGTCTTCGAGCCACTCAGAGAGCCACTTTGGGTTCTAGGACGACGTCTTGGAAGTACGAACGGGGTGTCTGCGCAGGTTCTGAAAGCTTTCTTGAGGGTTATACTAACGGGGTTGGATTTCTTGCATTCTGAATGTCGGATCATACACACTGGTACATATATCAAACCATCGTTTCAGTAGTAGTATCCTATCAGCTAACAGACCGCAGACCTAAAAGCCGATAACTTCCTCATCGGATTCGAAGATGCCACTATTATCGATAAATATGCCCATCACCAGGAAGCTCATCCCGCTCCGCATATACTCCGAAACGGACGTCCTATTTACGAATCTAGGAACGACTTCGGGCCACTCAAAAAAGGAGTCGGCTTGCTGAAGATTTCCGACTTCAGTGCTGCCGTTTTCGGGAACGTACTGACTCCGCATCACCATGACATTCAGCCTCAGCCATTCTGTGCCCCTGAGGTTCTGTTGAAGGCTGGGTGGTCGTATAGTGCTGATATTTGGAATTTGGGGACTGTGGTAAGTCGGAAGATGATGGTTTGTGGTGATGTATACTCACGGCTATTGCTATGCAGCTTTGGGAACTGCTCGCTGATGAGACGCTATTTGATGGGTTATGTGAACATCGAAGGAAATATTCCAGGGAGGTGCATGTCGCTCAGATGATTAGGCTGTTGGGATCTCCTCCCTCACGGTTCTTGGATAAATGTGATCCGCATATACGCAATGACTTGTTCTCGCCTCAAGGTACGTCATACTTGATTGCGATGGCATCGCAAGCACTAATTGTTGGACGTCTATAGGGGCGTTCAAGTTCCCTGGGTTGATTCCGTCGGAGGAGTTCAATTTCTCGAATATGACCCCTTTTCTACATGGAGAGGATAAACGCTTGTTTATTGGATTCGTTCGTAGAATGCTGCAGTGGAAACCGGAGAGTCGGTCGAGTGCGAAGGAGCTCTATGATGATCCTTGGCTTTGCTATGAACCTTAGATATATGGTCTTATCATGATATATTTGGATCTAGTCTTGTAGTATGGTCATAGTTATGGCATAATTTTGGTATCCTTCCTAGTCATCAATCATAGCAGGCTGTACATGGTTGCGCCAGAATCCCCGGCGGAGCTTACTCTTCATGGGTCACCGTCATATCCAGCACCTCCACGCGTCCTCTGCCCCGGGTCTCGTTACCCACGAACTCATTCAGTCCCTTAAAAGCTCCCGGCTCCGCAAAGCCAATGACCTCCCACTCGTCTCCGCCGACAACCTCCTGAGCCTCGATGGATTCGATATAGCTCAGGATCTTATCCTTGACATTGCTCGGGCCCTTGGCAGGAGCGGACTCTGCGTCAGATCCACCCGCCTCATCCTCGGATTCCTGCTGACGGGCCTTCTTGGAACCCTTTCCACCCTTCTTGTTGGACTTGGAGCCGCCCTTGGATGGCGCCTCCTTCTCCTTACCACCAGCGCCCGCACCACCGGCCGCACCACCCTTGACACTCTGCTTCAACAATGACACAGGACAGGTAACGCGGAGACGCATCCGCGCCCGCATCACAGGAATAGGTTGCCATGCAATAAGCGCCTTCATGGCCTCAAGCGCTTGACTCTTCGCGGACTTGTTGGCAGTCACACCCGTCCAGAGCGGTTTCCGCGGGCGGCTCTCCTCGCTGTTATCCCCATCCGTCTCACCATTGCCGGGTGTTTGCGATTGTTGACCACTAGCCGAGCTCAGCTGGTCCAAGGCCTTGGAAATCATTCCGGGGGTATAGACTCGTTTCGTCGTAGGATCAACCAGCCGTCCTGAGACAATATCCAACACTTCCTTCTCCACACGCTCGATGATTTCCTTTCGCTCGCGCTCGCCAACTTGCACTTCACCCTTTCGTAGGATTTCTTGCCGGATCTCATCTGCAGGTGTGTCGGCGCCGAAGGCCTTTGTTAATTCGGCGGATGGGGCTGTTTGCGCTTTGGAAACGGACAGGAAGATCGTGGGGACTTGGAGAACATTGTCGAGATCCTTCTCTGCTCCGGAGCGATATTCGAGGAGTTTGTTCTTGTAGCAGGCGAGCTCGAAGCGCTTTTTACCTGTTCGTTGAACGGTTAGCGGGGTTGCGGGGCCGATTGGAAGTTTCGCAGGAGGTTTTTCTTTCTACGCCTGAAATTTGCGCATGATCTCCCCACATAATTGATAGACATGCCACGCAAGACGATCGCAAATGAAGGGTCACACATGTATAACAGTACGTACCCTTTTTTAGCCTGACGACTGATACATTGGTAAATTTGATCTGGTTTGATGGTTGGTTGATGGGCATGTTGCCGAAAGCCTCTGCGACAAAGCAAGAGGCTCTTGTGTATATACAGACTCAACCAAGGTGTAATATGGAGTCGGTCGATCTCCAGTTGCGTCAGTGAGGAGATTATGTTTGAATGCGCTGAAAAAAATGCTGTTGACAGCCCAAGGCAGTCACCCGACAGGCTTGTGATTGGAGGAAACCGCAATGACGCCGGTCCCGTGCCATGCGCTGACTCAGCTTCATGACTCAGCGCGTGACTTTCTGCAAAGGGAAGGCACCGGCCTGTGATTGGCCGCCTTCCGGCCCTGCTATCGAGGCGTCATCGCCTGCCTGCAGCCCATCCAGTACACCTCCTCTTCTCTCCTCTCTCCTTCCTTCCTCTCCATCCTCTTCTGGGTTTCCATTGATCACCCAGTAGCTGGTATTTGCTGAGCTACTTGCTTTTTCTCACTTGATACTTTTGTGTCCGTAAGTGCACTCCTATGTCCTCTGACCACCTCCCTTGATAACCCGTGCTGATAAGCTCCCTGCCCAGGTACCGTACCTTCCAGACCGCAAGGTACCCATTCTCTACCTACTCATCCCATCGTCATCTCGATTTCATACCAACCCCGTAGGGTTTCAGCACAATGAGAGTTCTTCCAGCTGCTATGCTGGTTGGAGCGGCCACTGCGGCCGTCCCTCCCTTCCAGCAGGTCCTTGGAGGTAACGGTGCCAAGCACGGTGCCGACCATGCGGCCGAGGTCCCTGCGGATCACAGTGCCGACGGGTTCTCCAAGCCGCTGCACGCATTCCAGGAGGAGCTGAAGTCTCTCTCTGATGAGGCTCGTAAGCTCTGGGATGAGGTTGCTAGCTTCTTCCCAGAGAGCATGGATCAGAACCCTCTCTTCTCCCTCCCCAAGAAGCACAACCGCCGCCCCGACCACCACTGGGACCACATCGTCCGCGGCTCCGACGTCCAGAGCGTCTGGGTTACTGGTGAGAACGGTGAGAAGGAGCGTGAGGTCGATGGCAAGCTGGAAGCCTATGATCTCAGGGTCAAGAAGACCGATCCTAGCTCTCTTGGCATCGACCCTGGCGTAAAGCAGTACACCGGTTATCTCGATGACAACGAGAACGACAAGCATCTGTTCTACTGTAAGTCCACCTTGGCTCAATATCACGCCTTTCATATGTTCTTTATTTCTAACGCAATGTAGGGTTCTTCGAGTCTCGCAATGACCCCGAGAATGACCCTGTTGTTCTGTGGCTGAACGGTGGCCCTGGATGCTCTTCCCTCACCGGTCTTTTCATGGAGCTCGGCCCTAGCAGCATCAACAAGAAGATCCAGCCGGTCTACAATGACTACGCTTGGAACTCCAACGCGTCCGTGATCTTCCTTGACCAGCCTGTCAACGTCGGTTACTCCTACAGCAACTCTGCTGTCAGCGACACCGTTGCTGCTGGCAAGGACGTCTATGCCTTGCTTACCCTCTTCTTCAAACAATTCCCCGAGTATGCCAAGCAGGACTTCCACATTGCCGGTGAATCCTATGCTGGTCACTATATCCCCGTCTTCGCTTCGGAGATTCTGTCTCACAAGAAGCGCAACATCAACCTGCAGTCCGTTCTCATTGGCAACGGTCTCACCGACGGACTCACCCAGTACGAGTACTACCGTCCCATGGCTTGTGGTGACGGTGGTTACCCAGCTGTCTTGGACGAGGGCTCCTGCCAGGCCATGGACAACGCCCTTCCTCGCTGCCAGTCTATGATTGAGTCTTGCTACAGTTCCGAGAGCGCTTGGGTTTGTGTCCCGGCCTCCATCTACTGTAACAACGCCCTCCTTGCCCCTTACCAGCGCACCGGACAGAACGTCTACGATGTTCGTGGTAAGTGCGAGGATAGCTCTAACCTCTGCTACTCGGCCATGGGCTACGTCAGCGACTACCTGAACAAGCCCGAGGTCATTGAGGCTGTTGGCGCTGAGGTCAATGGCTACGACTCGTGCAACTTTGACATCAACCGCAACTTCCTCTTCCACGGTGACTGGATGAAGCCCTACCACCGTCTCGTTCCGGGACTCCTGGAGCAGATCCCTGTCCTGATCTACGCTGGTGACGCCGATTTCATCTGCAACTGGCTGGGCAACAAGGCCTGGACTGAAGCCCTTGAGTGGCCCGGACAGGCTGAATATGCCTCCGCTAAGCTGGAGGACCTGGTCGTGGTCGAGAATGAGCACAAGGGCAAGAAGATCGGCCAGGTCAAGTCCCATGGCAACTTCACCTTCATGCGTCTCTATGGCGGTGGCCACATGGTCCCGATGGACCAACCCGAGTCGAGTCTTGAATTCTTCAACCGCTGGTTGGGAGGTGAATGGTTTTAAAGACGTGCTATCACCGCATATAGACTTTCCGGTCATTTCGGTGACACTGCAGATATGTTTCTTAACGATAGTTTGAGGATGCTTGTCAATGCCCACTAATCCCGAGCCTTATGTTACATGGTATCTATGAGTTTGTCATTATAGTGCATTATGCATTTGTACTCCGTACGAGAATGAATCGATCGCATTTACATGCATTTAATTAGTACCATACCGTCTGTACGTAGTGTAGAACACGAAATTGAGTTAAGATAGTCGACAACTAGGCGTATGGACGTCTCAGTCGATATTAGAAGGTAGACCACTCCCATAGAAACCGAACCATGAGAGCCTACTCGTATTTCGCCACCGAATGACCCGTACATTCGTAAATCGTAAAACAGCAGACAAAGGAAATGTGAGGAAAGGATGATTTGGTATTCATTCATATTGGTATGATTCTTTTCATTTCGGACACGGCATTTTCTAATATTGTTCCCGGTCCCAGGGAAGATTTCGTTAAAAAAATCCACACCAACATACACAAAAGGAATCCATCCTTCCCACGATCCACTCCAGCAAGTACGAAGAAACAAACGCAGATGATATGACCCCGATGGTTGTTTTTTTAGTTCTTCTTCTTGCTGACACCGACGGTGCGTCCACGACGACCGGTGGTCTTGGTGTGCTGACCGCGGACACGGAGACCCCAGTAGTGACGGAGACCACGGTGGGAGCGGATCTTCTTCAGGCGCTCGAGATCCTCACGGATCTTGCTGTCGAGGGAGTTGGAGACGACCTGGGAGTCCTTGCCATCGGTGATGTCGCGCTGTCTGTTGAGGAACCAGGTGGGGATCTTGTACTGGGTGGGGGCCTGGAGGATGGTGACGATACGCTCGAGCTCTTCGGTGGTGAGTTCACCAGCGCTGTTAAGAGATATCAATGTCAACTTGATGTTCTTGTATGTGTCCCTTATCCCTTCGGGGTCTCTGTGTTCTGTGGCCCTCGATTCCCCCTCTTATTGTGTCCGTGCGACCAACTCCTCTCCATCCCATTTGTTCGAAACCATCGAGGAAAGTAGTGTAGTGTAAACGTACCGCTTGCTGAGGTCAACGTCGGCCTTCTTGCAGACCAAGTTGGAGTAACGGCGACCAACACCCTTGATCTGGGTCAAGGCGTACATGATCTTCTGCTTACCGTCAACATTGGTGTTGAGCAGACGCAGAATGTACTGGAAGTTCGTCTTCTCGCCGGACACGAGCGCTAAAAATTCCGAAGAAACCGCAGTCAGCCTTTCTGTCTTGTAAAATCGGTTGTTGCCATAATGATGATGATGATGATGGAGCAAGTGAAAAATTCAATGAATCCGTCGCCGCTGTTTCCTGCCCGTCTGTATCCGCGATGATAAATTTCCTCCAAAAACCCCCAGCGATTTATGAATATTTCCTCCCAAAATGACCGGCAAAAAACGAACAGCGACGGAAATCAAAGATGCAGGGTTGGAAATCCGATTTCAGGGTCTTTCACGTACACATGATGGGCGATGGCGCGAAGGACCGCGATTGATTGTCGACAGGCGAGAGGGATGAGAAGGAGGTGAAATCGAGGCGGGCTTGCGAGTGCTTCTTCCAACTTTGCTCTCGCCCGTTGTGGGATCGGGTAAGCTGGGCTCTAGCCTATTCGGGTATGGTGGGATTCAGGGCTCGCTTGTGCTTCGGGCTATTCCGGAATAGGGTATATTATCACTTGACTGTCTCGTGCACGTGATCTAGTTGTTCTGGTACGGTAGTCTGTGTATGCCAGCCGTGTAGTATTCTATTCCTGCCTGAGGCATGTATGATATAGAACATCGCAGTACGACGGGATTCACCTCATCTTCATCTTCCCAGGTGCTTTGTTAGCAGTATCTCCGTGATATGATCACCGGTGTGTCTGGAACATGCCTTCAGACTATATCTTCACTTTGAAACACCTATTGAGAATGATTTCTCCTATATTCTCCTTGGCTGGTTGCAAGGAATATGCCAGCCAAATCGGTCAAATTGCACTCTGTACTTGACAATTTGCCTAACTGAAGTGTTCTCTCCTTGCAAATACACCTCAAATGACGGATATTGCAGCGACGCTCAGTATATCTGAGCCTTCATCACTGTGTAACATGAGATTCCCCTAGGGTATAAGTATGAAGCAGATTGATCGCTCTCTCCAGATTTTCTATCAGCAGCTGCTTTGCCTCGTGTTCCATCCAAGAGCCAAATAATCACTATTCATTCACCCAAGCATTCTCTCTGGAAAGCTACTTACGGTCCTCGAAGCAATAAGCAAAATGGAGTCAGCCTCACAGCCAATTGAATATGTCGAGTGTAGGCACCCGCTCTTCGATGTTGACCAGCTCGAAGAGCCTGCCGAGACAGACCAACTATGCGGAAAACGCATCAAGACGTTGACCGATATTCTGCTCAACGGGGGCAGGGGCGTATACGACAAGCTGTTGGATTTTCATGGCTGGGGTTATAAGTATAACACTGATTCCCATTCTTCCCTTCAGCCAAGGCGGGTAAAGGTGGCAATCCTGGTGAAAATCATCTGGAATCAAGCTGAATATCACCAGCCCAAGTCAGTGGAAGAACTCTTCAACTGGGGAAGGGACGCTGGCCCTCGATTGCTGAAACAGGGGTGTGTTCAGGGCTTGAACAATTACCTACCCATAAGTAGGTGTTCCCCTGATCCCCCAAGGGTTTTGCAAGCATCAGACTCACGGACCCGTGGGTCTGTTAGGTCTTCTGGTGATATACCGGAGGAGTATGTGAAGGTTATGGAAAAGCAACTATATAAACTCGGTAGGCTCGACGAAGAGCTTCTTGAACTTGCGACACCACAAGGGGATCAAACGGAAGAAGAACAAAGCGAATACATTGAAAGTAGTACTGACAATTCGGAAGAGTCCGAACATACAGAGTGGCTCCCTTCAACCAGTCCTGAGGACCAGGGAGTCGAAGATGAAATGACCGACATCGAAGAGGAAACCTCTGACCGTGATGAGGGGGATCCTATGGAAGAATGTTCCTCGGGTGGCAGAACACCAACTCATACGATAAAAGTCGAAAGCCCTGCCACGCAGCATGAAGAAAGCTTCTCAGAGAGCCGGAGACCAAGTGAACAAAACACCGAAGGTGTCAGTGACCCTAACACCACAACTTCTACATCCCAGCAGTTCCGGAGAGCAGAACCACTACCTAACCAGCATGCCCAGTTAGTTACTGAGGCAGTGCAACGTGCTGTCATGAAATTCGCTTATCACGAGCTTGAACGCCATCAGACTGCTGCCCCGTTGGACATGCCACGACCATGGCTGACCGCCAACTTAAATACCATGAACAATGTCCAGTACAGCTTACACCCAGTAACAGCTGAGGTAGAGCTGCACGCCCCAGGCAACCCACAACGCCCCCGGATTACAAGGCCTTATAGAGGCCGAGGCCCTGTTAGCACGAAACTCAGCGAAAGTGCGATTGGCTGTGCTATCATTGCAGGCCGACTGCTAGATGCCGGGTCCACCAACATCGACCGCAAGCAGCCGGGCTGGCAGGATCGTTTCACAGTTTCTGACCAAGCCTTCATTGAAGGGACCGATGCTCAATGGGATTTCCTCGATAGAGAAACGAGTCTTAGGCTAGTCGAATGCTTTGCTGGTTTCCTCCCAGCAAATGCTCACCTGGCCACGGGGCCTACTCAGACTATGCGAACCGTCTGGCGCAATTTTACGCGCACCTTTGACCAGTTCGCGTACTCATACAATGAGAAGACTACTGCGCACTGTAATTGTGGGCCATCCAGGGATAACAAAACCACTGTGAATGGCACCCGCTTGACCACTCTGGCACCGCCTGTGCTCGAGACTGATCGGAACGGCGTGAGTATGGAGGAAGTGCTGTCTCGGGTATTTGACCCTCAGCACCAGAGAACCTGCATCAAATGTAACCATTCGGTCAACTATGAGAGACGATTTACCAACGTCCCCATGCGCCTGGTAGTGGAACTCGGTCCTAATGTGTCTATACGATCACATACAAAGGACATTACTCTGTCATATCATGATGATGGTGGTGAGGGGCAGAGAGTCACATACCGCTGGATAGGAGGGATATACTCACCAGGACCAGGTTTATTGTGCCTCATGTGGAATGGTGCCGAACGTGGGGTGCGCTGCACGAACCTGTGTTCGTATGAAAGCCATGTGCTCGACGGAGCCATACTTGGATTTCCCCTCTCAGAAAACCGCCCGGACCAAGTGCCCGAGCGTCTTTGGAGGAATCAGCAGATCCCCTTGCTCTTCTACGAGCGGGTTCTGAACCCGAGTATTGGCGAGCTCCAAGTAGCTGTGAGTGCAGTTAGCGGCATGCTAGAGTCTGCCTCCCAGGGTGAGCTTTTCCTCCAGCAAAGTCCTGGTTGGGCCCCGCCCGAACTACCCCCTCGGCAGCAGAACCCATATCCTTGGGAACCTGTACTGCCTAAACATACGATACGCTTTAAAAGTGCCAATTCGGATCTTCGGAACATGCTGATCCTCGGTACGCAACCCCAGGCGCAACCCCAGGCGCAACCCCAGGTACAACCCCAGGTACAACCCCAGGTACAACCCCAGGTACAACCCCAGGTACAACGCCAAGAGCAGGCTGCACCTAGCAGGCCTAGAGGACCGCGAGCACAGCCTTACGTTCCAGCTCATCCATACGCGATTATGTCCATGGCCCCCACACCGATCATGTCAGCAGATACGCCATCGCCTGCGATCATGATGTCAGGTTCACCGTATGTAGGTGGTGCAATGCCACCGCCTCCTAGGGTCAGGCCGATGTATATAACTAGGCCAGAATATGTGCCTCCTGCCAGTCCTGTTCGGCAACACCCCCCTCTCCATAATCCAGCTCTCCATGGGTCTTTGGCTTCCTCTCCTGTAGCCTTTCCTCAACAGAGAGTCGCTTACAGTCCGGGGATTCCGACCACCGATCCACCACCCTCTTATGAAGTCGTACAGGCGATGACCAGCCAAATGCAGCTGACAACCCCGAATAGCAGCGCCTTTGGTGGCCATGGGCCTACTATGATGGGTCAATCCTCCTCGCCGCGATCACAACCACAGCTACCACAACCACAGCTACCACCAACCCATCCGGAGAATTGGGTGAATAGACCCGGCCACCATGGGCCTCGCCACTGAGGTCTTCACCTGCAGCCCCGCCAGACGCACCACGACTATGAAGACATGCTAGCCAACCAAAAATGAAGAGCAATGGATTAAGACTCTCCCCCTATGGCTTGGGTTCGGGTTTCAGACTTGATAGATAGTAAACAACTTAGACAAGACAACTTTTTTTTTTCAAAATTCAAAAAGCACTTACTACTGCACCAGATTCAATAACTAAGACATATAGTACTGTCCGAAATACTTTCATGGGTAGAATTAGAATGCTGTCTTCAGCGGTGGTAGTTCATATATTAACTCAGAGAACGGATCCTGGTCCAGAAATCCGGGGAACAATAAAAAGGGGAAAGGAACTAGGTCATACCAGCACAATAACCCTTTCTCTCAATAACCGAGCAGCTTTAGTACCTCTAGCCTCCCGACTAGTCAAGGATGGAATGGAGTAACCTAGCACGGCTACTGGGCTGGTTTCAAGGTAAACGCGTTGCCAGCTATGCCGGTGGGAGCCAATGACGGCCGGGCCAAAGTCAGCGCATGGACCTTTCCCCGCATTCATTGAATCCCCCGGCCTTTTTCCCTTTCTCTCTTTATGTCTCTCCCTCGCTTCTTTCTCTCTCCTTGCTTTCTTCTTTCTCTCAACTACTTTGAAAGACGGGCTCCTTCGTTTCTTCATTATGAATGAACTTGAGATTTATTACTCTAGCCAATGTACACGCTTCGGCCTCTATCCAATCCTCTAAATCCTTCTATGGTATATCAAATCATGATCCTCCCAAATATCCATCGCGTATTTACAGCCTGGCCCGCACAGGTTCGGTCTTCGGCTTCTTCGGTGGTCCTGTCGGCGTGTTACTCTTCTTGGGAGCAGAGATATAACCTCCCTTGACATTGTCGGTGTTGAGAACAGCACCCTTCTCGTCTCGTCGAATACCCAGCTCGACCAACTTCGCGAACACCTTCGCAAAGTGGTCAAAGAACAGGTCCTTGTCCTCTGCATACTTCTCCACCCACTGTCGGAAGGATGGGTCCGTCTTGAGTGCGATATCGGTGGGCAGCATCATCAACAACTCGTCTCCCTCCTCCGCATCCGGATCCTCATATACGAACTGGCTCATGCCGTTCGCCAATTTCCGAGGCGTCCACTCCAACTTTAATAGCAGCTTGAAGAACTGATTGGAGAATCGTGTTGGGTTGTTCACCCAGGGACCTTCGAACCCACTGCGATCGGTATGGCACCGACCCAGATTGTGTCCTCCTGCCAACGCCACAATCTCTTGGTCGTTGAAGCCCATCCGGTTGAAGATAAAGCGGAGATGGTCTGCACCCTGAGCACCGTCAGGTAGACGGCCACGAGGCGGTACCTTGGAGTCGTCGACCAGGTCCGTCCGACCTGGCTTCCACTCGACTTCCGGCCCGCCCATCTCCTTGATCGCCACCACGCCTGCTAACGTCCACAAATCGGAGTATGTAATCCAAGGATGCTTCTCCTTTACAGGTTCTAAAAATGCCCGACCGTATTGAAGGCCTGCGTTTGACGGATCGCCCCCCTCTGCTTCATATCGCATGCCCGCACCGTTGCTGCCGCCCGTGTCGGTTTCGGCGTCGTAGGTACCCGCGGAGTGCCTGCTCAGGGGTTAGTGGCGACTGACAAGCATAACATTCAGCCTGGAGGTGACTCACCATGCCAGTCGGACAAATACTGGGCCTGCGCTTCCGTCATCATAGTCTGGCTTCTTCAGCTGTGCGACAATGTCCTTGCGGACGGCGTTGTAATCGCCCGGGCTGCTCATCTCGGCCGATAGATCGGTCGTCCGGGGTAGTGCGGTGCGTCGGGATTAGGGGATGGGGAAATTGTTCACGCGATGCTGGAATTTCCTGAAAGGTTGCAGCACAGGAACACGGTGACTAGGGATTAGGAAAGAAAAGAATGATCACCAGAGATAGGGAAAGAGAACGAAATAAGGAGCGTTCCTTTTGTTGGCAAGACACATGAAGGGATGGCGACCAGTGGATCCGCGGCCCGAATTCATGGAGGGCCAGTGCCAGTGCCGAGGTTCATCGCCAGGGCGGCGAACTGGACCCGTCTTTGGGAACTCGCTGGAACTATCGCTCCCAGTCCGATTATTGCTTATCGGATTCGCTGATTGGACGCTCACTACGGTGCAGCGATGAATCGACCCATCTTCATATGAAGGGAGGCAATTTACTGGTATTCTCATTGCTATCTAGAGGAGATTGCGACCATGTGGTTTCCCAGCACTTGGATGGAGGAAATGAGGTCACCGATGTGTGTTCTTCGCCATCCTGGCTCCTTCAGTTGAATCAATTGCCGTTACCCTCGGAATTTGAATTCCCGGTTTTTGCTCCCGCCTAGACGGGCGTACGGAATTCTAGGTTTGTCAAATAATCACGAGCAATGCAGAGCAGCACACTTGATTGGTTCTGCATCTGCAGACTTATTTGATTTATCCAGTGCCCATAAGGAGAGGCTGTGTTTCTGAGTTAGCGTGATGCGAATAGCAGCGCAGTGAAAATAAACGATAGAAAGGTTTGCACTTGCGATTATGGGCACGCAATAATGAGGGCCGAGGGCCATAAGATCACCCGGAATGACTGCTATCCCCTTCGCATATCCCGTTGCAATATGGTGGCTCATCTGTCATACGTTGAGTGTCAATTTAAGCTATTAACTGAATAGTATTTTGGATTTGCCACTATGCAGGCGGGCTCTGTGGCTATGTCTATAATGAGCACGCCGGATTATATATGCTCTATCTCTATCCTTATCGAAATGATGAAAAACAATCACTCAGCTGCTTTTTCCAGCCGATTCTCCTCCTGGCCCGGTTTCGGTCTGCTCTTGATGAGATAGAGCACACTGATGGCAACTCCAAGCCCACCCAGTCCGATACCCATGTACAAGGCTCCGCGATACCCTTTAAGCGTGTCATGGAAGGTTTGGCCACCGTTATTCACATGCACCTCGACAGTGCCTGCAAAGCCCAGCCCCAGCGAGATGCTATAATTAACGACCGTCGTGACCAACGACGCCGCAACACCCTGATGACGACGCCCGACCGCATTCGACAAGACGACCGTGGCCGCAGGGAACGACATGTCCATTCCCCACGGAGTGACCAACAGCGTTACAAAGGACAACGCCCAATACGTCTGATGAACCGGAGCGATAGCCGAAAATATATTACCCAGGGTGAAAGCCACCATGGCCATCAGCATGATCCAGCCGGGCCGCATTTTCGCCATGAGGAGTCCCGTCGTGAATGAGGCCGTCAGTCCGGACAAGGCCGGCGGGATGAACTGCGCCGATGCCAGCAACGGCGATATGCCTCGGATATTCTCCAGGAACCGCCAAAAGTAGTAGACCCAGATTCCGAAACTGGCCCAGCCACATGCAATGCAGCCCAGGATAAAGCAGACGTCGAGATCCAGCGCGTGGAAAGGGATGAGGGGCTTGGCCGCGTACTTGATCTCCCAGACGAAGAACATGGCTAGAATCAGGGCTCCGATGATTAGCAGGACGTATACATACGCCTCCTGCCATCCAACCACGGGCGCCTGGTTCCACGCGATGTTGATCAGAACCAAGCCTGCGACTCCAAAGAATGCCCCGGCAACGTCCAATTCAGACACCAGCTGCGCCAGCGACATACCCTGCGCAACTGACGGGGAAGGAGGAATCGCAAGGAAGGACATGATCGCCAATACAAAACAATAGATTGCCATGGCCCAGAAAGTCCACGGCCACCAAGCGAGCTGGGAAAATAGCGACGCAAAGATGGCTCCCAAAACAGCGCCGTTTGGCGCGGTAGCCCCGAAGAGCGAGAAGACCATATACTTCTTCTTTCCCGGTCGGTACGTCGCACCCAGCAGCGCCAGGCCATTAGGAAGGAGCATCGCAGGCCCGATGCCTTGCAAGGTGCGCGCAAAAATGAACAGGATGTAGTTCGAATACACACTCACCCCCGCCACCAGGGACCAGATCGCGAACCAGATCCACCCGGTGATATACAAGATACGGTATCCGAAAATATCGCCACAGCGACCGAAGAACAGAATGAAGGTACCGACAGTTAGGGAATACCCTGCAATCAGCCAGCTGGAAATGCCAGGGTTGGTGATGCCGAAACTGTCGCTGATGATCTCAAGTGGGGCGAGGGTGTTTCCGAGCGCGGCCTGCGTCATGAACTGCGACATGCAGACCACAAAGACGAAGACGAGCTCATGAAGAGGCGAGAAGGTCTGAACGGCGGAGCGGATGGATTCGGATCGCGAAAGTGTGCCTTCGAGTGTACTGTCTGAGGAGGCCATCTCGGCGGTTGTATCTGTCATAATGATGATCGTCGTCGGGAAGCTTATTAGCAGCTGCTTAAGACGGGCCGTCGAAGTGTATGCCGTCAGCCACTATGCATGAAGAATCGGTAAAGTTCATCCAGAGGCTTCCTTTCCCTTTCTCCCTTCTCTTATTCCCTGTTGAAAGGGCTTCCCAAAGTGACTTGGGGAGATTCTCCTGAACAGAAATCAGGATTAAAGTTGACCGTTGAGCTGATGTCACCTCGGGTGGGAAAAAAAAGTTACAACGTGGGAAAGAGAAAAAAAAGTGGGAATAAGTGGGGACGGCAACGGTCTTCGAAGAAGTTTCTACGGAGTACCAACACCGGTTATCGGACTTTGCCCCTGGCGCTTACACAGTAGGGAGGTGGGTATCTGACCCTTTTATCTCTTTGCTGGTCGTCTTTAGTCTCGGATTTCGGTGGTTGTGTTATCTCGGTGGGTTGATACTTGATATCCTTTTGATTACGGCTGAGATGGCTGATGACCTTTGTGGGGGGTTACACTACAGCTACTACTAGTTTACTAGTTTAGTTTGTATGCGTACTACGTAGACGTAGATTGCATAGTTAGCTTAGGATTCAGTGATTGAGCAGTGAGTTGTCCTGTTAAATTCGCCGCGGCACTAGCTCTACTATGTAAAGAGACTTCCGATAATGTTGTCA